GACTGTGTAGACGCCCAACTTCGTGACTAACAGGCAGGATTCCGTAAGGATAGATCGTGTACAGACCAAATCGCAACTCTACGGACCATTGTGGAACAATCAATTGAATGGAATTCATCACTCTACATCAACTTCATTGACTACGAGAAAGCATTTGATAGCGTGGACAGAACAACACTATGGAAGCTTCTTCGACACTACGGCGTGCCTGAGAAAATATTCACTATCATACAGAATTCCTATGATGGATTACACTGCAAAATGGTGCATGGAGGACAGTTGACAAAGTCGTTCGAAATAAAGACCGGTGTCAGGCAAGGTTGCCTACTCTCACCCTTTTTCTTTCTCCTGGTGATCGACTGGATCATGAAGACATCAACATCAGAAGGGAAACACGGGATACAATGGACATCTAGGATGCAGTTGGATGATCTAGACTTCGCAGATGATCTGGCCCTTCTATCCCAAACGCAACAACAAATGCAGGAGGAGACGACCAGTGTAGCAGCAGCCTCAGCAGCAAAAGGTCTCAATATACACAAAGGGAAGAGCAAGGTTCTCCGATACAACACAGCATGCAACAATCGAATCACACTTGACGGAAAGATTTGGAACATGTAAAGGTCTTTACATATCTGAGCAGCATTACTGATGAACACGGTGGATCCGATGCAGACGTGAAGGCGCGGGTCGGGAAATCGAGAGCAGCATATTTACAACTGAGGAACGTCTGGAACTCAAAACAACTGTCAACCAACACCAAGGTCAGGATTTTCAATACAAATGTCAAGACAGTTCTACTGTATGGGGCGGAAACTTGGAGAACAACGAAAGCCATCATCCAGAAAATACGAGTGTTTATTAACAGCTGTCTACGCAAAATACTTCGGATCCGTTGGTCAGACACTATCAGCAACAACCTACTATGGGAAAGAACAAACCAGATCCCAGCGGAGGAAGAAATCAGGAAAAAGCGCTGGAAGTGGATAGGACACACATTGAGGAAAGCACCCAACTGCGTCACAAGACAAGCCCTCACATGTAATCCTCAAGGCCAACGGAGGAGAGAAAGACCAAAGAACACATTACGCCGGGAAATGGAGACAGACATGAGAGAAATGAACAAGAATTGGATGGAACTAGAAAAGAAGGCACAGGACAGAGTGGGTTGTAGAATGCTGGTCGGCAGCCTATGCTCCATTAGGTGTAACAGGCGTAAGTAAGTAAGGTAATACAATGAAGTGTCTAGGTAAGGCCTCGTGTACGTCCCATGCTCCCCCCAAAATATGTTGCCTACCGAGGCATAAACATACAGGAGTTCGATTATGACCCGACAAGAGTGATATGATATAAAGCTGGTCTGTAGAGAAAAAGCTACGAAATGTTATCACGCATCATAAATACAATACCAAGTCATCGAATGGAATCATGAACCTCGTCTGAGTGACTTTCGCAGTTATGTAATGAGGACTAATCAACCGATGAAGTATTAATCCAAGCAAACCTGGATTAAATACAATGTGTTAATGAGTCGATATAGAACCTGAAATATTTAAAGCCATTTTTCGAGGCACGTTTTAAAAAGTCATGATTTCGTACTTCTCGTGACATAAATTTGCTTTCATGAATTGATTTTATCAAAATCATACTTGCCCTACTTAAACTTGAATTGTCCCGATGGTTTGGAGTTTTCTTTAAACCCGTCTTGTGGCAAACTTCAGTTGATCATTATCTCATGTATGTTTCTCGATTCCTCCAGTCAAATATGTATACAGTGGTTGGCTGTATTTATAAATGTGGATATCCAAATACTTTCTTCCATGTGGAGAAAGACGTGTCATGTGGTAGGTATACATTTAGTTCTACAAGATATGTACATGTTTAAATCCCACCAGATGGAGATGATGGAGGCCTAACACCCACTGGCTTTGCATGTTCAGCAGTTCGATTGAGACATTACTCATCCACGAGGCAGTGGGTCTTGATCAGCAAGGAGGTTGATAGTGGCTGCACTGGTAACATGAGTGTCGATGGCTAAGAATTTGTAAAAATAGTGAGTGTTATCAAACACTCGACTGTGAAAAGAAAATCTCTGATACTGTAGCGTGGCGTCGAGTTGAGATTAACTGTGAACACCGCTACCAAGAAACACTTGCCAAATAGATCAGAAGGCGTAAGAAGCTCGTTCCAAATGACTCCATAAAATCCCCGAGAAGCCGAATACCAGAAGGCAATTAATGGACCAAGTCGAGGTTTATTAGCTGGCGATCTCGTGGCATCGAAAGGATACCGAGATCGTGCCAGGATACAACCTTGGTTACAGAAGGTAACCGAATTCGCGCGAAGTTACAATCAAAGTGTAAATAAAAGAATGGAAGCACAAAATAGCTGTCATTAGCACAGTCAAACAAAAGCACATTAAAATAAACACTGGTACAGTTGGTTATAATAATAATTGTTTTTATTAAACCAGTCGTGTTCTCGTGATGAATGTGAGTCACTACAGGAGCCCCCCGCTAGAAAGGGTTTACACTTTCGATAAATAGCGGTTTGAATCGTGGGACTGATCGGCTGACGAGCGATTGTAGGACGGAAAGATTGGCGAACAGGAAAGCAATCGTTGATCGTCGAGTTGCCAACGAAGGTCATTTTCGGAGAACGGTACCAGGAGCGATGTGCTGTATTTATTGCTTGAGTTGGCATGCTACACCAGAGTGGTTTGTATCCAGAATCTGAAGAGGGCGTTCGTAGGGGTGCGCACCAGAAACGCTGCAGACATAGGACGAAACCACGTTGAGCCGATGAACCAGAAGCGACCATAACGACAAAGTTCGAGACCAAGTGTATGCCAAGCATTCGAAACCAATATATCGACTGAGTACGTTGACAAGAGCATGGGTGATCAGTCCAGCTTTCGCCAAAGTTGACTGAAGTCGACGGAACCAAACGGAGATGGTCGAAGGCGTGGGCTCAGGAAACAAAGAGAAAAGCAAAAAAAGAGAAGAGTGTAGCATACGTGTAGTATAGGAATAATCCTACACCGTATCGGTTATTGACTGTGCGACTATTCGCGGAGGCGTACGGGTAACCGTACTCGGCGACCGGAACGTGAGACGGCAGTCTTGTTCGCGTCGCGTGAGCCTGCAATCTTATCCGAGGTCAGAGGCGGCGTGGTCTGCTGATCTGGACGTGAGACTATCGTCTCGTCCGTAGACGGTGCAGATGACGCGTGCTGTTGACCGGGACGTGAGAATGAGGTCTCAGATGTATCTAGCGTGGGACCTGAAGAAGATTTAAGGATCCCGCTAGGTTTAATTGGTCTAGCATTGAATCTCAGGTTACCAGATAGGGCACTGTCATCGACGTGTGCTGGTTTGAGACGATCGACGCTGACGATCTCGACGCGTCCATATCGATCAACCTTGAAGGTCTTTTCGTGACGAGCGATCACGTGAAAAGGGCCTTCGTAAGGTTGTTGCCAAGGTTTGCGTACCGAATCTACTCGTACAAAAACATGTGAACAGGTAGATAACTCTCGAGGGAGAGCGACCTGTCGATGTTGTATTCGAGTTGATACCGGAGACAGCGTTCGCATAAATGCAGACAGTCGATGGACGTAGTCTGATTTACCGAAATCAGGTCTGCTCCGTGGTGTGAAGAATTCTCCGGGCAGACGCAATGTCGTGCCGTATACAAGTTCAGTGGAGGAACATTGGATATCTGCCTTTAAGCTCGTTCTCACCCCTAAAAGAACGAGCGGTAAGGTTTCGTACCAGTTGCCGTTTTCGTGTGCTCGTAGAACACTTTTAAGTTGGCAGTGAAACCGTTCAACTTAGCCATTTGGTGCTGGGTGGTAGACGGATATGCTTATGCGTATGCATTCCGTACCAAGCAGCCGGGTCAGTGAGGAGAATCGTTAATAGGGTAACATTTCTCGAATAAAGCGTGGAATTCATCATCACGCGAATAAAAAAGTAACAAGGATTCGGTACACATACATGTGAGTCCATTATAATAATACTATTCTTATCGTTATCCGTCATGTCGAGTATATTATATATTAAATATGAAAATATACGACAGACGTGGATAGATAAACCATAGACTCACCGAATTGGCTTCTTTGGAAGATTTGACCAGAAGCTGAGGCGTGTTCCAAAATACGGGTCACCAATTGTATTCGAATTGGGATTACCAATTGTAGCGTGGCGTCGAGTTGAGATTAACTGTGAACACCGCTACCAAGAAACACTTGCCAAATAGATCAGAAGGCGTAAGAAGCTCGTTCCAAATGACTCCATAAAATCCCCGAGAAGCCGAATACCAGAAGGCAATTAATGGACCAAGTCGAGGTTTATTAGCTGGCGATCTCGTGGCATCGAAAGGATACCGAGATCGTGCCAGGATACAACCTTGGTTACAGAAGGTAACCGAATTCGCGCGAAGTTACAATCAAAGTGTAAATAAAAGAATGGAAGCACAAAATAGCTGTCATTAGCACAGTCAAACAAAAGCACATTAAAATAAACACTGGTACAGTTGGTTATAATAATAATTGTTTTTATTAAACCAGTCGTGTTCTCGTGATGAATGTGAGTCACTACAATACAAACAAAAAGTGAGATCTTGAGGCAAAGCATCACCAATGTGGTGTCTCAAATAAAGGCTGAGAACCTCGACAAAATCATTGGACAACTCAGATCTATAAGATAATTTAATTCATTTGTACTTAAGATATACAGTTCGCCCAAATCTGTCTACTTTATTAAGACTGGAGCAGTCTAGTGACCAAAATGAATGCTTTCAATGCAATTAAAAACCTTGTTTTAAGGCTGAATGACGAAACAAATGCGTAAACAAATCACCTAATCGAAATTAGCTTGAAATGATGACATCAGTTATTGGAACTACTGAGCACGTGATTTGACCTTGCAACTGGCTTGAATCCTCACCGGCGTTATGTGTTTAAGGTCACGTTAGATACCTATTTTGCCTCTTTAATGACCAAAAAGGTCAACGTTAATTTCGAAGGGAATTTGTCTTCTCTCTTATCTTGTGACTGTAATGTTAATGAACCTGGAGTAAGTCCACATACTTGAGTTATTATTAAACTACGTATAAATAGAGAGTGGCTTTTGTCTCTGGCATCAAAGAAAATAACAAAATTTGTTACGGAGAGTACACGGAAGTCATCAAATCTTTAAAAGAGGTATGTTTCTTATGAATAATCCATGTCAGGTTGTTGATAAATGTTTGTTCACTTGGGAGACTTTCCCTGTACAACTTCCTAAATCGTTTTTGTCTCTAGCAGCTTACGAAGTTAGTTCTTCACTCTTAGGCCTTTTGAATGTACACAGGATTTAAATATATCGGACCTCTTCTATGATAACAAAGTTGAAAAGTGTGAGGCGGCTGCCAGAGTATGTTTTCGAGATCTAAATGTCGTAAATAAAAGTCAACGACAGGAAATCCATACAGACGCACAGTTCGTTGTGCCTTGCACAACATTCACGGGCAAGTCTATTTTTGTAACTCATTGTTGTAGGTGAAGTACATGCATGGAAAATCTCTCCTTGGCTTCTGAAAGGAACTCGAAATATTTACAAACATTTTAATAGAGTAACGACTTTTTTCGCTTATCTTTTCTTTTGAGGATTTATATAAAGCTTTGTCTGTAGTGGTGGTAACTTCTATGAATTTCATTGAAAGTCCGAATTTCTCCATCTCTCGATCATTGGTTGATTTATGCATCTCCATCTACTCTATGCTAGGTAAGTTTGCGTCTTTGTACTACAGTTCTCTCTCCGTGAACCTTTATATGGCAGAAATATAACTTTTAGGTGAACTAGTTAGATGTAAGATCATGGCCCTTGGATTTTAGTGTTAAACTCATTCGTCCATATAACTAAATGACGTTTTGGGATTATAGTTGGTCAGTTTGTGATAAAAACAATTCTAATTCGTAAACCTTAAGCTCTGGCTCCTCACATCAATCTTTAACCATAGTGAGTGGTTGGGGTTTCTTATGGTCAGTTCAACATCGCTCAAAGGTCGTCTATCAATTTTAGCCTAGCTAAGTCTCGATCTCTATTATCTATTATCGTTTTTCGTAAACGACACTCGCTACGAGAAGGCAGTGAATAGAACTTCCTTAGCATTGGCTTTATAAACGTAGGCATGTTAGAGCACTTCTAGAGGGAGAGCTGACTTTTCACCCTCGACTGTACCAGAGCATTTGGGGGTTAAACTCATAGCAGTTCTGAATTTAGAGATCAAACATCCTCACGTATGTACTATCTTCTGCTTAAAGCTTTGGAATACTGAGCTTTGGGAAGTGTACAGTAGTGTAAGTGTGGTGTGTGCTACTGATGTCGACAGATATAAGTAGTAATGTCTGGAGCCAAAGGATTAAGAAGATTGAAGAGAAGAGAACGAGAACAGAGTGTGATTGATATGGAAATAAAGGAACAGTGAAGCCTGAAACAATTGCTAAATATTTTGCAGATGAAGTATTTACTGTATGGTTTTCAGATTTTACTAAGGGATTTTGTATTCAAACACATTTTTTTGTCTCCGCCTTTTCTTGTTCACTGCATAAATGCACACTTGTATATATAACATTTACAGTGGTTACCTTGTATGGACTGAAGATTTTTGATTTTGTGTCAACTGTCATCTCGCTTATTGGGAAAGATTAACTAAAAGTTGTTTGATCGCATATTTTTAACCACATTCATAACTTTCACAATAGATGAACATAATCGTATTTGTATTCTCTAAATTGTGTTGATGACCAGTAAACTGCTTGACAATATATATGAACAAATGTCTCTGGAAGACACCTAAATACTGTCCATTTAGCGGGTGTTTGTTTTCTAAACCACAATGTTTTTTGTCACGTTTGAATCACTTTGGTACATGTGTTCTGTTCATTTTATTAATACTTGATAAGCGAACTGAGTTTACAACTGGTTAATAATATGAACGGCCAACGAATTCAGGTAAAGAGTAAGGAAACAGCTTGGGTAAAGCAATATATTGTATAGCTTTTACTTCAAACAGTATATTCGTTTGCAACACTTCATATCACTCCATCAAGGGAAAACAGTTGATATACCATTATAGGCAAAAATATCACAAGTAGTGGGAAATTAAATCAGAAACGAACGAAAGTAAATTTTAAGCCTCATGTTTACCTACATAGTATGTATTAATTTTTATGTTGCTGTTTCTCAGAAACTGCTCTTACTTTTCGTAAATGGTGGTAATTTTCTTACCTCGTTCATTAGATATCTTTTTTGGTTGGCCTCGAGTCAATAATGGTGATGTAGATCTCAAGCTGCTTGAGGAACGACTTGGGTTTCTGATATGTGAGCTGTCCGTTAAAGTGAGTCGAATTTCAAGGCATTTACGTAAATGTAGTATGGACTTAATTGCAACTGCGAGTTTCTCATACTGATTTTAGTTTTTCTAATGGTATCGTATATAATTTTAGTTATTCATAATTTGTTTTGAATTTATTTGGCAGTAGATCTGTTCTTTACGTCACTTAATAGTTATTTCCTGTATGAAAACTGATCATTTCAACTTCGAACAAAAAAGAGTTGAAACAATCATAATCTATTACTTTTATGCCATGGTTTTAATTTCGTTGATCACTCAGGGACTTGACTTCAGTCCTAGTAAAGCAATCAAACAGCAACTTAGCTTGATGATTTATCAATAAATTGTGAAATTACGGTTTGTGTACAGGAAATACATGTAGCTGCCACCGGACCGTAGCTGCTACTTTGAGGTGGTGGTCATGCTTCCCAATCATGATGACTCAGCTGTTATATTGGCTAGGACACGTGTCGCTTTAGGTCTCACCATGCCAGGCAGGTCGGTTAAAGAACGATAAAACTAAAAGCAGTAACTTTAGGCCTGAGGTCGGAATCGTACTACTGACTGTAGAGAGGTGTGGCGGCGGTAAGGTGTTCCCTCGAACAACCACCCACGTTCACAGCCACTTTTTCGCTTTATTGTGTATGAATGTTATTTCCTATTTTATGCTGTATTGCGGTCTGTTTGTTTGATATATAAACCCAGTATGTCTGAAATAGATGATTCGCATAGTGGAAGCTGGTATTGGTGTTCTGGACTCAAGTAGATGGGCTAAGCGGACATAGGACCAATAAGGACGCTAGGCTGCTCATGCCGGTCGAACGTCATTGATTTGGCACAGTGCTAAGATTGTATTATTCGTATTTTGATTGGTGGATAAATCACGTGATAAAAAGCCGGACATAAAGTCACAACACGTTCTCGTATATCTTAATCAGCACGAGCCACCAATGCTATTGATTTGGGTTCTGTTAGCGGGACATAGACTGGATTAAAGCATGCTCAATGTACGATTGCTTTGGTGCACGCTGATTGGCTAATTCTTATCCAATCAACACTAGTCGATACTTGGAGAATACTCTAGAATCTTCTCATGTAAAAACTATAAATGTACTAACGTTTTCCCTATTGTGCTTCTTTCTTGCATCTTACTTCTATCCAACCTGGTTATTTGGAATGTAATCTCTTTCCTGTTCAACCGTGTTCTGATTTGGGGTCTTGTCGAGTGATTTGGTGTCCAAGAATACTAAGCAATAGGAATAGCTGGGTCATGACCGTAAGAAAGAGTTTATAACAGGTTCATAGAGTGTTCTTCCTGGTCTCCTGAAACCACGCTTTAAGCTATATATTGGAGTTTTTAATGTTCGAACCTTGTGTCAGATAGAACAACAGGCTTCTGTAGCTTGGACTGTAGGATCTCGCGCCATCGATGTATGATGCGTATTGAAAATGCGTATACAGGATCCAAGTAAGGCATTTCATTTGGCTTCACCTTGTCAATATAAGGAACCGGAAAGATTCATTTTTCGAGTATCTGGAGACCCAACTGCTACTTCTCGTGACCTCAATGGTGTAGGTGTAGAATTTGGTTCAAAAGTAGAACGGGTTCAGTTAAACTGGATTCCAATAGACAGTCGCATGTGCCCTGCTTCGGTTTGGGCATCCGGGCAGTATCACAGCCCTCACACACATCAAATGAGATCTGTGTGGCGCATACGTATTTGGTGCCTCTTTGTCGCATGTGCGCTGTTCCACTAAACGCGACAATAAGAACTCAGAAAGGTGTGGCGCGCGCTGTTACTTTTTCTTCGGTTTTGCCTTAGAGTTCAACTTCATTATCAAATGGTTAAGAATACATATCAGGAACAACTAAAGAAAGTGTTCGTCAACCGTGAAGTGATATTCGCTCTGAGGTAGCTTGGCATGATATCCAAAAAGCTGTGAAAACAGCTGTGATATTTATTATTAACTTAAACCAGCGGATTTCAACGGCATCTGCAAAACTGATAGATGTTCGGACATTCATCACATCTGGCTCCAAACTAGATGAGAAGCGAAGGAAGCTTAGACATAGTCTGATAAAAGGCCTACATAGTGATTGTGAGCAGTGGTGGGTAGAAAAAAGGCATCAGCGATGCATAATAGTAGACCACTGTTCAGACCTATCAAGAAAACGGGTATTAAACGTAAGGCTGATAGTGAAATTGTCTTGCCAAAAGACAGAACTATTTTCCGTCCTCAATTCAAGAGATTGGACCAATGGGCAGAACGTTCTAAAGAACAGTTCAGCTGGCCTTCAGACACTTCAGTTACTCATTATCCCTAAGTTACCTGAATGGCAAACTGATGTAAGTTTTCCAACTCTTAGTGAAGTTGAAAAGGCTATAAGTAATCTAAAGTGAGGGAAAGCAGCAGGGCCTGATGAATTAACCCCTTAAATTCTTAAGGATGGTGGTCAAGTTTTAGCACTAAGATCAACTGAATCTTGGAACTGGACGTGATCCCATCTGACTGGTCTTGATCGCCGGTCGTCCCAGTTTATAAGAAAGGACAAAAATCGTCTTGTGATAATCACAGAGGAATCAGTTTAACTAATACAATATCTAAAATATTAGCCTCAATAATACTTCGATGTCTAATTATAGCTCTTGGAAAGTGAGTCTGAGAAAACCAGACTGGTCCACATCTGTACATGAATGTATAGACCAAGTATTTACCCTTCAGCAGATTGTAGAACATAGACATACCTTTCGACGTCGTACTACAGTTGTATTTCTTGACATTAAGGCAGAGTTCGACTCTGTTGATCATTAGGTTCTGCACCAGTGCCTGTCATTGAAAGGCGTATCGAATAAGTACATTAACCTTGTACAGGCTCTCTACTCGAATACTTCTGGTCGAGTCAGCGCTTATAGCTAATTGTCACCGGAATCGGAAAATTCTTACTAGTGGAGCTCTTCTACATACTTTGAGTAACAATGGAAAGATGTTTCTACATGCGTCTCCATCCAAATTTGGAGTAATTCCTTATGACTGATGTCCGTCAATAACTAATTTAAGAAAATTGTACAATTGTCGAGTACGTTGAGCCACTTAAATTATCTTAAAAGTTTCATTAGCCGTGGTGCACTAGTAAGTGACGAAATCACTGGACAAATGCAAAAAGCCCACTCCACCTATCGGATAGGCAAGATATCTTCCTTACCTATCAGAGGCAAGATATGCTGTGCAGTAGTCCTACGTTTTGGCTGCTAAACGTTGGTTTTTGAATGAAAGGATTATTATGAGGCCAGACAACTTGGGTCAAGACTGATTTCAGTATCTCAATTTCATTTACTCATTATCTTCCTCTAAAGCTTGCGTTCCAATATTTATTTATACATTCTGTTATCAACCAACCATATTCCCTATGTTTTCTTTCTTACTATCATTTTCACCATTATTGTTTCAACTCTTTCGTTGTTTTTCTTGTCGATTTCACTTCTGTGCTGATGCTTACTTGTGTCAGGTCATTCGTTAGTCATAAATAATTGGTTGACTGAGGGTAACTGAGATCTCTAGTATTACTCTCAGCTTACTAAATAACATTCTCAAGATCCTTAACATACTGCGGTAGCTATATATAAACTGGCACTAAAATATTGCAAAAAACCATTAATACTTGTGTGTTGTGTCCAGCATGGGAAAAACGGGTAAAAATGGTATAAAACCTAAATATACTGCAGTAGACTTAACGTTGAAAGAGTAGGGCATTTTCAATCGGTGTTTCTATTTGCACAGCATGCAACAATCAAATCACACTTGACGGAAAGATTTGGAAGATGTAAAGGTCTTTACATATCTGGGCAGCATTACTGATGAACACGGTGGATCCGATGCAGACGTGAAGGCGCGGGTCGGGAAATCGAGAGCAGCATATTTACAACTGAGGAACGTCTGGAACTCAAAACAACTGTCAACCAACACCAAGGTCAGGATTTTCAATACAAATGTCAAGACAGTTCTACTGTATGGGGCGGAAACTTGGAGAACAACGAAAGCCATCATCCAGAAAATACGAGTGTTTATTAACAGCTGTCTACGCAAAATACTTCAGATCCGTTGGCCAGACACTATCAGCAACAACCTACTATGGGAAAGAACAAACCAGATCCCAGCGGAGGAAGAAATCAGGAAAAAGCGCTGGAAGTGGATAGGACACACATTGAGGAAAGCACCCAACTGCGTCACAAGACAAGCCCTCACATGTAATCCTCAAGGCCAACGGAGGAGAGAAAGACCAAAGAACACATTACGCCGGGAAATGGAGACAGACATGAGAGAAATGAACAAGAATTGGATGGAACTAGAAAAGAAGGCACAGGACAGAGTGGGTTGTAGAATGCTGGTCGGCAGCCCATGCTCCATTAGGAGTAACAGGCGTAAGTAAGTAAGCTTCTGTTTGCTCTTTTGTTCGATATCACGTCATATCACTAGTAGTTATCACACTTGACTGAGTAATATTCAGTAGTATATTGGATATTTCGTCATGTGATACAATAAAAATAAATCTAGAGCTACTGGTTACTCAGAAGCCATGCGGTACCTCTTTTTATCGTGAATTGTTGTAAAAATGCAGTACACCACAAATAAACTCCATCCGGTTCCAAGGAGGGTCAGATACATGCTTAACAACCTCACCCAGTAAAATGAACCACTCTAAAAAACATCAATCAGAAAAATAATTTAATCCGTTTAAACTCTACCCTAATGGTTGAAGAGTTTTCATATAGAAGAGTTGTAACGCTGCGTTGTGAAAGCCGAGATGATTCAAAGGCCACGATACTGACACCCATTTTGAATGCTTGAAAAATGTCGAAGACCGGGGGAATTACTTAAGTAGAAGGAAAGATACGAAAGTACAACCTTGCTGTGGTTGGGATAAGTAAAACACATTTAATACAAATTGAACAAGAGAGGCTAGTTTCGGGTGAGGTGTTGCTGTGTTCTGGTCATAAAGAAGGAATACCTCGCACGCACAAGGACTTACACTGATACTGTTTAAAGAAACACGAACAGCGCCCATAGGATGTGAATTTCATGGCTCCATGATGATTAAAACATCTTTCAAAACAAATAAAAAGGGCTAACTTGGAGGAACCAGATTGACCACATCTATATCAATAAAAAATTCATATGGAGTTAAAAATAATGTGAGGAGCTGATATGACTTCAGAACACCATAACCTGGATTTCTTTCAGAATTACTACCGGTCACAAGCCCTGGGTACATGAGGAGGGTTAGGCACGGGGTTAGCAACCTCATCCCGTAAACAAGGAATTCGCTGAAAAATGTTAACTAGAAACCACCTGGTGTTGGCTGAACTAAGTTCGAAGCTGAAGAAGTACTGGACAATTGGATAAGCAACTCTGCAAAGGTTTGACGCAGTTTCCCTTGGGATGCTAACAAACTCATCATTATATGGAACTTGTATGAGGGACTGCACTGAAAAGTCGTACATTACGGAAATCAAGTTGCAAGCCTTAACTTGGAATCCTCAAGGTTAAATGATCAAGAACATGCCGCAGGGAATTGGAAGAAAACATCTAAAGGATGAATAGTACTTAGCAACAAACAGAAATAAAAGCCCAGGACAGAGTTGGTTGGAGATTTTTCCTTGGCGATCTGTTATTCATAAGGAGTAACAGGTTTATTTAATTTAACAAATCGCCTTAAAGCTCTGTCTTGCGATTCATCTTTCTAGAAATGGTGTTCATTCAACAATTTCAGTATGAGTTTTGAGTACATAAACTTTTATTACGTGATCATTTAGTAGGCACTTTATTTCTAATGCTCAATACCATATCTAGCACTAAGTTTTTAAAAATTCTGTTATTTTTATAGTCTAGTCAAAAGAAAAAAGTACTAGACTTTTGGAGTATCTGCGAACATCTAAGTAAATTACCTTTTGGAAAGTGTGAGGTGAGTCATAATGCTAGTACTTTTTTTAAAATGTTTTGATCTAAATTACTATTGTTTAATCACGTCAGCAGGGATAGGTAAATATTGTTTTTGATATGATAATATTTCAGCTTTAGTTCAGAATTTCTGAATATTTTCAGATGGTTATGATGGCATTGGAGAAAGACCATATCAAAATCTAGAATTTTGTTGAAAGTATATTAATCGTCGCACAAGATTTTGTTCTAACCCTAAACTCTTAGATGATGCAGCAGAAATTTGTGCTCACTTAGTGGGTGGATTTTAGACCGTTGTTAACTGCTTAAAAATTGACCTTTCACAATTTTGATGGCGACAGAGTAATATAACGCCTTTATTCAAGCATTAGCATTTATTACAACGAACGCTATTATACTTTAACCTAAAATTCCTTTGCACTTAATAGTTACTTTTTAATCGTGGATTTAACTCAGATTAGGAGCAAAAGTACGAATTTCCGCACTGTTGGTTGTTGGTTTATGTACGGAGTGGTGAATTTTGAGTGATAATAAAGCAAGAAATTTTATCAAATCCCGCTTCCATAATCTTTTTGTTCATTGTTTCATTTTTTACAGACTATGTAATTCACTTATAAAGACTTGGAATATTTTCTGTGCCCTTATTACGTAGTTTGGACAATCTGATTATATTTCTTGACCTTCACGTTGCTTACCTGATCAATCACATACACATAGGACTGAAAACTATTGGTAGAACGAAATGCTCATAAGGGTGGAAGCAAAATCACGTATAGATTATTCAAAGGCAAACTTAATTTGGGTATCTAGAAGTTGTGAGACTTCAGAAATGGTTATTTATTACTGTTGTCCGGATAAGGGTTATATGTGCCTATCTGTTCTAAGAAAAGCACTTATTTTGTTCTGGAAACTTTCATATTTAAGATAGGGGTTGTATTCCCATTGCTAAATAAAACGGGTGACTTCATATATTCGCATACATTTTAAATTTTTTGAAATCAGCTTGTATTTACGAAGGAAACATTGAGAGACCATGATATTCAACGTGAAATAAAAAGCGATAATGCTTGTGCATTCAAGGCATAGCAAGCATAAACACTCGTCTATGTATACCATAGTGGATGACCGGATTCTACATCAGGAATGCTAACAATGTACTGATTACTTTGCATCTCATTTCCTTGCAAAACCTATTATTATAGGTGAACTGTTTCCCATCCATATTCGAATTTCACCTAGTACCATTATTTCAGCATTCATGTGGTGAGTTGCTAATGTTTATTAACTTTGTCAAATTGTAGAAATAGCGATATTAACAGATATTTCTTAACAATCAGATTCCTCAACAAGGTCTATTTTCTCAGTATTCTATGGTCGTCTTTTTGGTAAAAAGCTATCTTCTTGCAATCATTAGTTCTAACTTTAAGAGATTGTTGTTAAATTATAAGCTATTTAATAATTCATTCTCATGTACACAATGTAAATTAATGGGCAGTTAATTGATGTAAATAAATAATATTACTAGTTTCCTGTATCATACTGAATATATCTTCTTACTGTTGCGATAACCTAAGTTTGTGCTTTTTAATCAAAAAATAAATTTTCATCTCGTTATTTCACACTAACTAATGGCTGATTATGTGATCAGGCTTACCGTTCAGTTTTTCCAGTCTTAAAGTCAGGAAAAAGCAATCGGGTTGTTTGTTACCACATTAGTTGATCGATAGAAATTTCGCAAGAATGACTAGATAATTTAAAAAAAACTAACTTTTTAGCTATTCTAGGGGATTATATCAAATAACTGGTCAATTTTATCTTTGTTGTCATTGTTGTCGTAGTCATCGGCATGATGGTACATGTATGCACAAAACCGGTGTGTATGTGAATGCCTGTAACCTTGTTTATGTAATTTGGTCAATTAGGCAATCAATAAAATGGGTAAATGATTTTTTCGGTTAACAGAAGTCATGAACATCATCGTTTTGTTAATACTTCACTTTTATTTTGAATTGAATTCTCTTGAAATAATTCTATTCATCTGAAATCACTCAAAACTATAAGAAAATAAGTAATTGAATTGATGTATGCTTGAACAGATTCGTATACTACTTAAAATAAACGCAAAATATGGACAGTAAAACATATTGGATTCTTTTGAAAATTTCATTGTTATTATTCCCCAGTACGAAGTTTAGTTTTTATCTTTACAATTTAAGATAACCGATCTTAGTTATTTTATTTGTATGGTGTACAAATCAAATGGTCTGAGTCGAAATTTCTCATTGTTAATTGGTTTTTCATTAAGTTCCTTCGTTAGGACTTATCCGTCCAAGACCAACGATTGTGACTGCTGTAGTAGAAAAATGTCAGCCGACAAATATCAGTTTTTGTACTAATTAGATCGGTTAGTTTTGGCATTGATCCAATGAATTATTATTATAATCATCTGTTGAGGTTAGCACAGTAATGACCTTTCGTGCCCCGGTGTTCCACGCGTGACACCTCACTCTATTGAGTATTTTATCTTGTCTCTTACCATATATACTGTGATGTTCACTTGTTCGTCTTTTCTTGGTTCATAAAAGTTCTCTTTTAAAGTCTTGTCTTCTCTAACTTTACTGATATACGGTTTTCATCGTTAAAATGTCGTTATGCATTAGACGTCGATCTATTCAGTCACGTAAAATCCAGTATCGTGTCAGAAGTATCTTCCATTATTCGTATTTTGGACTTCGCTATAGATATATACCATTACAGCTAACAGTGGGTGATCTTTCAGTCATACTTCTGCCTGAATCATATCATACCATCATTAATGATTGCTGAGAATTATTTCCACTTTGGTTGACATGTTTGTTCATTTAATAATTAACGTAAAGATTTTGATTGTACTTGATTTTTAAATCTTTTAAAACCACTGATGTACGAACAGACCAAAGTAAAATAAAAACTTTCATAACAAATAACTTATCATAGAACCTTGAATTAGCTTGTGGTCTGTATGGTATAGATTTCTTTTTTCATCGGATGAAAAAGAAAACATTTTGTGTTTTCTTAAATCTAAATGAGGTGGATTAGCTGTAAAATGTTTCCAGTAAAAAAAACTCAAAGAAAAACAACATCTTTTTTTTGAAGGAACATGATCTCACTTAAACAGTGTAACATACGAATGTTTTACTTCCGGGATACTAAATTATAGCTGCTCGGTGTTATGAAATATAGAATAGTTTACTGCTATGTACTAAATAATCTCGATTCCGTTCCTTATTCATGTGTATTGTGTATATGAATATGTGTTACTTTTGAAACAGATTTGAATAGTTCCTCTAAAATAAATAAATGAGGTAAACAGTTTCAGTTTTATACAAGCACGTTATTTTACATATTGAATAAGATATTAAACAGGTGGTTGATTAGGTTTAGTAAAACTGAAGATTCCCTACCGCGATATATGAAATCTTTGTATGGTTGTCTTTATTTAGTCTTTTCTTACATACATATTTTTGGAATATGTGACTCACTAGTTTGGAGCTATAACCAAGTAACGAGTCTTGCATCGGGCGAAATACACGTGTACTTCATCTACAAGTGAGTCTACTTATGATGAATTATGTGTAGTGTAATGACTAAATAGATCGAAGATGTAATTCTCTCTAGATTTAAGAAGCATTTTGTCTTGAGGTCCATACCTCAAAGATTTTAACAATTCCCTGTATGTTAACTGATGTACAACTAGAAAGAATACATCCCTATAAATTTCTCTACTGGTTCTGATTCATTTGTCCATCTTAGTTTAGCGTTCGTTTGTTTGTGGTTAATCCATTTTTTTCGGCAATACTACCTAACAGCTTCTGCTTTAAAAATGAATTTTCTAATTTTATCTAAAAAAATTATTTTTATTCCCTTTCGTAAAAGTGCGATCCATTATATGACACCGTTAAGAGTTTTATATATATATCATGGCGATAACTTTGGAACGTTCGATAATAATTATACACATATATGCATGTTATAGTTTCCTCCATTCACTTATTTGGCTTGTACTATAGGAAATTCCAGAAAACATCCCGTTACCGTATCGATTTTTAACACCAGATCGTGTCTCAGTTGATCTTCGTCTTCATGATCCCGTTCTGCTTGAACGCTGTTTACATGTGATTGGAGATTTGGAGAATTCAGTGCGAGGAGATTGGTTCCAAGATTTTAAAGAATATTCTGTCTCACAGTTTAGAGGTAATGCAAATATTTAATGATTTTGTGGAGTACAGTTTATAGCTTAATAAATGAAAATGATTTATATTTTGTATGAATTGAAAGACCTTTTAGCTAGTGTAATAATTTAAGCAGAACTCTTGAAAGTGATTCTGGATATATAAGTGTTTTCAAACATGATTTGTGTCCTGATGTCATATTTTGTAAGTTTGATCAAGTAAAAATATAAGAGATTAACCTCTTTTAAAAGTTTCAAACTAGTATCTAACACGTCTCAAGTGCTCTTTGATTTCAAGTTCTTCGGTTGAAGTGGGTTTGTGTAAACTGTTCTCACGTTAATCAATTTATTGTGGTATATCATTATTAGGGGATAATTCTTTATACACTTCTGACTTGTTTTTGATTAGTAGTAGTTATCTGTTGCTGAATATAGTCTGGTTGTTTTCCAATCATTTAACCTTTACTTCTCTTTTTAATTGCCCATCAGTAGATTCCATGAGATGGTGGGTGTATTTGATATTTGTTTTAGTAACCTCAGTCAAGGAATATGTCGTCTTTTACGCTGTGTATTTAAGTTTTTTTTTGTATTTTCTTTACCACTGTTATAATCCTGTTTTCTTACGGTTAATGACCCAGCTATTCCTATTGCTTAGTATTCTTGGACACCGATTCACTCGACAAGACCCCAAATCAGAACACGGTTGAACAGGAAAGAGATTATATTCCAAATAGCAAGTCAGAAGCCAGTAGGAAGCACAATAGGGGAAAACGTCGGTATATTTATAGTTTTTACATAAGAAGATTCCAGAATATTCTCCGACTATCGACTAGTGCTGATTGGATAAGAATCAGCCAATCAGCGTGCACCAAAACAATCATGCATTGAGCATGCTTTAATCTAGTCTATGTCCCGCTAACACCTCCCCTCTGAGCAGATTCGTAGGATCTGGTGCTAGGGTCCAACTGCAACTGAGTGACTGGCTTGTGCTTCCGATTAGTCCATCGTCTAGGCAATGAAGAATTATCACTTTTTCCTTGCACAGAGACTGACATGTCTGTTCCCGGCGTTTTGATTTTTCTTAAAAAAAAGTATGCATAACTTTTAGTTCTCCAACATTCTCCTCCTCCGCGAAACAATGTCGGATCCTTATATCTCCAAGTTACAAATAATAGGACTTTATTTAAACGACGTTTCTCGCATTGAATGTCGGATCCACTAGAAACGACTAGATGATAATGAACGACCTTTGATTTGAGGTCAAAGTTTAATTCTTCTGAAGCATTACTTTCAAATCCATTAGGAATTTCATCAGTGGATAATGGATCATTACGGAAATCATCATCTAACAAAATTAAATTAGACTTATGACCATAATTTGACTCAGCTGATATATTTTCCTGATTTTTATGAGAAATTTCATCAAAATAACATGCATTGTTCTGAGAACCCATGTCTGATGCATTGTCATTAGAAATCGGATAAGCTGATTCAATATAAGTTTCTGTCTCACAATGATTTTGAGTAACATTCGGTATGATTGGGTTCGTTGTGTCACTGCAGTTATTTTCTGAATACGAGTCCTCATAGCTTTCTTGGCTAATATCACGTGGACCATAAATTTGTTCTAGCTGAAAGTTATTTTCAGAGCTAGACAGGACCAGTAGTGCTTCATTCAATTCTGAACTCCGGGCTTCATCTACAGGGTCTGACTCTTGATAATCTCGTATTGCCACAACTTTATAAGCATTCAGCACAGGATTTTCTTGCTGTGAGCCGGAAACGTTACAAATATTACGTTCTGATTCAGGTATAAAGGGATTTGAACCCTCCACTAGATATGCTTCTGAAATGTCTGTTACTGCATCATAAACAGATTTCTTATTTTCTGGTCGAGTGAAAAGTGTGCTCAATAGTTGTTGTTGCAAGGCTAACAACTTCTGCTGATGCTGTAATATTAACCGCAACTGTTCTAAAGAAATCGCCATTTTTCTTTAGTTTTTCCCCGTCGCCACTGTTATAATCCTGTTTTCTTACGGTTAATGACCCAGCTATTCCTATTGCTTAGTATTCTTGGACACCGATTCACTCGACAAGACCCCAAATCAGAACACGGTTGAACAGGAAAGAGATTATATTCCAAATAGCAAGTCAGAAGCCAGTAGGAAGCACAATAGGGGAAAACGTCGGTATATTTATAGTTTTTACATAAGAAGATTCCAGAATATTCTCCGACTATCGATTAGTGCTGATTGGATAAGAATCAGCCAATCAGCGTGCACCAAAACAATCATGCATTGAGCATGCTTTAATCTAGTCTATGTCCCGCTAACAACCACTGACTGTGTCCGTAGTCTAAAACAATATGTGAAGCTTACATCTGTTCATTCTAAAAGTCTAGGAATTTCCATTTTATTTAACCAAAGATATTCCTTTCTATAATCGCTCATTAGTTTCTATAGTTACAAGTCCAAGTTAATGTTGCAAAGGGGATAGCCAAGTTTAAGGCAAACTGATCTTTTAAAATTACAGCTTTCGAACTTAGAATTGTTTGTAAGAAACAATAAAAATGTCAGTATTGCAATGTAAAACAATTAGTCCTTTTTCTCAATTTGGATAATGTAATAAAAAGACGAAGTTTATCGAAACTATGTGATATATCACACAGTTTTGACAATCCTCATCTTATTGAATTATCCGAAAATTGAAATGATTAATGTGAAATGTCAATTCAGCTAACCTTACGGGTCAATTGGAATTATGAGAATAATAGTCAAAATGAATGTAGATAAAATTCCGAAATGGCCGGTATGCAATACTAACTTGATTAACTTTATAGGTTAAACGAAATTGTGAGGTTATCAATCAGAATAATTATTGATAACCTAAGAGTGTCTAAGTCAGATCAAGTGTTTGCTTGAATATTTCATAATATATCAAATGATATGAACTGGTTAGGAAATAGTAAAGTGGAGTGAGTCCTTATTGAATTCTCGGTGTGTGTACAAGGTTAATAATAATAATAATAATAATAATAATAATAATAATAATAATAATAATAATAATAAACAAAAAAAGTGTGGGATAACAGTGCCACTAAAAATAGTAGTTGCATAAAAGAAATTTAAGGTAGCTTGGTCAAATAGGGTAATCATATAACTAAAATGACCATTGTCTTTGTTGGACCGGAGGTTAACTACGGCAAAAAAGAGACTGAATGCATTTCCTCTGGATGCATAGCTTTGGTTGTTTTTAGTCTAAACAACTATTGCTCCTGCCATTTGGACATGATGAATTTCAAGAATATTTACAAAGCAAGTAAAGTTACATATTTCATCCGTCGTCATTTTATATGGTTAGCCGGAGCAATCAAAGTGGTGAGCCCTTTGCTCACGAGCATCCCAACGGGGGCAGTAATGCTTATTCCCGTTTATCTGATTTGGTTTTATATTAAGTTGGTTTCATTTACTTTCATGACGTGAGCAAATAGTTGTTTATTCGTTGTATAATTATAACGACACTTGAGATTTTCCAGATGCAGAGTTCACGTCTTGGAAATAATATGTTAGGAAATTGGGTCACTAATAGAATATTTATTTATTCACACAAAAGGTGATAAAACAATGATAAAAGGACAATAAACAATATCATTTACAACAACAGTTATAATATCCATTAGTATGGGGTTGTGAAAGTTTCTGAATTTCATTGACAGTATAAACCGATCTATGTTAGGCAACCGTTGGAAACCCTGAAGCACTGGACAGCTGTTTCGTCCTAGTGTGGGACTCTGCGTTGCGTATCCACAATTCCACAACTGGGACTCGACCTCAGGACCTTCGGTCTCGTTTATGAACGACTAACCTTTAGACCAATTATCCGTTATCCAATGTTGGGCAAATCTGACTCCAGTTCACGGTATTACACGATCTTACATCATCAGAAAGTGTCTTCCTCACAATCAATACGGTCGGTCTCCATCGGTCACGGCTTCTCACAATGAATATTCCTGTCCAGTGCTTCCTAATATTCAGTGGTTGTCTAACTTAAATCAGTTCGTGATTTCAATAAAATTACAATATCATCGAACTTTAAAGGTATATAGAAATAAAAAAGTGACTAAAATAATTAACATTAGTAACAAGTACAAAGTTTGGGTGAGATATCAGTTTTCGTAAATTTTTTTAAGTTCATAATGTAATTAGTTTACTAGCATTAGTTTCAAAAATTTGGAGCAGCGTCAAGCGAATCGGGAACACTAGAGCACACTTGGAGTTAACTGTTGATTTATTTTCAAATGTTTTAATAGGCTGATTTGATTCCGTGCGTCAAATAAGCGATGGATTCTTGAGATCGAAATTTCTTATTGAAATATTCTGCGACTTCAACAGTCCACTATATACTTAACAGATTCGTCAGAAATAGAACGACGGAGCAATGAATCAACCGACTGGACCATACTCAGGAAAGAAATATGGTTGGGGTAGTACCTAAATTATGACTGATTTTTGCCTGTTACTTACAAACGCAGTTTAATTAAAAACCTGTTTAACAGAGGTAGAAGCTTGTATTTAATCGAAAAAATTCAGGAAATATGATATATTGAACATGAAAAGAAATTTATTATGAAGTGCATAAAAAATGTTTGCGAAAAGTTACAAACAAACAACTGTTGACAAAAAGCTTGTTTTCATCTATCTTGTGGTTAAAGAAAGCTGGGGAGGTTTCAGGTAAAATCGTCAAAACAATTGAATTAGCGCTGAAAATAGGCCTTCCTGCAGCCCAACTATTTTTAGTGTATAATACCAAATGTCCGTAAACTAATCTCTGTGGATCGATACCCTTGTGAGGTCAACTCCAAATGTATTTACAGATGTACATGTGCTTACGGAAGGAGGTATATAAGAAAGACTGAAAGAGGGACATCTGCACGATTTGCTGATTATATTCCGCGAAAGTTTTTTTGGAAAGAATTATTCATAAATGAAATCACTAAACATTTAATTGATAATGGTAACAAAAGCGTTGAATATTATCAAAAATACAGTGAATACTTTTACTCCGCTTCGCAGAGGTCATTGCCATCAGGTGCTTCCGACCCGCCCTTTGTATACAGGATAAAGTTGTGATAAACCTCTTATTACCATTTTAAGGTGGCTCCATTATTTTGATGTTTGCTAATTACATTATCTCTCCATTGTACTTTATAACTTAAAATAAGACAAATTCCTCAGACATTCACTCACGACGTTAACCTTAATTTCATGTCAACTAGGTGCCTCGATTTTCATTAATTTGTTTTTATTCATAGTCTCTTTATTACGGTCTATAACTTCACTCCCTTTCTTATATGAGTTCACCTTTAACATATGAATGCTGATTAATCTTAACTATTATGTTAAATGTTTTTCTTCCTCTTCTTGTTTCTCATGTTGTTTCGAACTAAACTACGATGTTGAAAACATTTTATAATACTTTTACAATGGAAGTTTAGGCCTCATTTGTAGCTGATGAGAAGCCTTGAACTGTAGTGAATTTATGTTACTCCAAAAAATCTTGTTCTTTTCACTTTATTTGAAAATACTACTGTTAAACTATTTTTATGTGAAGTTTGTATTTCCAAGAAAATATCTTCCATTTTTCGATCTTTAACACTTACATCGGAATTGAGTTTTAAGCTTCAGATTTTGTATTTGCATTTCATGTGAACTATAATTTACTTTATATCAAGTCTTATTTCTGTCTTAAAAACTATCATTTACTCACATGATATATTTTGCTGTTTACAGAAATAAAGATGCATGTAACATGAAATACAATTCTCCATTCATTTTCATTTAAAATTGCTTTATTTTGTCTTCATACACAATAGACAAAGAGCCAATAAATTAACTTCATCACAGTTGATGTTTAAATAATGTTGGTGTAGACTAGTGCAATGTTAAAATTTCAGACTTCAGAGAAAATGTAGTTAGTAGTTCTATTTGTTAAGTTATGAAAATGTTATTGACTTCATCAAATGAAAAACAAATGTGAAAACAAGTTGCAAGCTTCAATTCACATTTATCTTCAGTTAACTCGAATATTTTTTTATACAACTGATGTTAAATAATAATTGTGAATTATTCTTCAGATATCTAATTAGAAATCAAGCTAACTAAAATTGTATATGTATTGTTAAAACCAGTTTTAAATGTTCCTTATTAAAAGGTAACATACGGAATGATTCCACCCTTCTTGTTGAGTCCCAACATGAAGATTAGATCAATGTTTAATAACTCTTATTTGTTAACACCAAATCACTACTTAGCGATAGGAAATGGTCTAATTAGACGTTATTGGTTTATAATGTTGAATTAGTTCCTCTTCTTCAGATTTTGATTCATGCTGCTATGTGATATGAATTAATCTTGCTAGTTAGTGCATCTTGTTACTAGGTTGATTGACGTGATTGATTCAAGTGATTCCCCACTATAGTGTCAATCTGGTTTAAGATATTTCTAAGGGGTTCTAATCTTACTAAGTAATAGTTCCTTGTATTCACATCCCACGTGCTATCCTTTGATATTTCAATGTGTCGGTGAATCGAAGAGGGAGGGTAGCTGTCATAATTGTTGATCAGTGCAATCCGCGCTTTCATTTCGGTTAGGTATTACTTCGAAAGTCTACTGACATATCGATCACCTTGGTTTCGTAAAATATTTATACGTATGACTTTCAAACTATTCACACAAAACTTTTATTCAATACAAATAGTAAATTTTTCAAAAGGTTTGAGATACAACACTTAATTTCGATCTGTTTTCATCAGCATCGTTAGAAGTACGGTTATGTGCGCATTTGTTTCTGCCTATCATGAATATTGTTACTTGTTTTATCTTGTTTTTAGTATTTATGAAATATTTATTTAAATTGTGCACTTGATTTAACCTGCCAGTAATGGCTTTTGTTAAATATTATTTTTAGACATTCCTTTATAAACTTTTCTTTCACTTTTGTTGTTGTCTCACTAATCAATTGTGTTTTGTTTAGTAAAAACGTAAATACATTTTCAAGCAGTAAAGTAATTCAGGATAGACAAATTTATATAGGTCACAATGAACCAGGTTTACCACCATGTATTTGTGCTCTCCTAGTTTAAAGAAGCTGATTTGTTCAGGATAGCAAAAATGTCCGCAATGAATTTTATTCCTTTATGAAAGATGGTGACGTGAATAGTTAAATTCCTGTTATAACTAAGCCAACTGACCAAAGTCAGACACGTACAAGTGGATCAGTTATCCGATGCTCAAACTACTGTGAATCAGCTAGTAGCTGACATTATATACAATTTCGCAATTATTGTTTCACAGTATATTCTCGTAGTCTCGTGGATTCTTTCTTTAGCTACGTCATATTCCATCGCCTTCACCAGACAGCCATTTACTTGTCGAATAGTCTTTGTCAATTTATAATTTTGTTTGATGAAGTTAAATTATAATGTTCTCAGAATTGTCATTTATTGTAATTTTACTCTGTAGATGAAAAGAAATCAGTATCTGAAGTTAAAAGGGTAAGTAGTGTTAACATGAGATTGTCATTGTTATTTTAATAAGCACCAAAAATTTTAGTGGTAAGGATTATCATGATAACGTAAACATAACTGGTAATGATTTCCATATTATAACTACTATTCCTAGATGAATTGGATCACAGACTAAGTTCATTTTGAAAACTGTTGAAATTTAGAGACCACTGGAGAGGTATTCTGTTTTGGTTTGGGAATTCTGTGGAGTGTACATCCATAACTCAATCAATAGTTGAACCATGAACCCTCAGGTCTTTCTGTGAAGGCGTTTATTTAAGAGCAATGGGATTCTGTGATCCGTATTCCCACTTTTATTCATTTCGTGATGAAGCGCAACGATCATCTAGTGTCATCGACGTTGTTTATCTCTGCTAGTCATAGCTTCTTAGTGCAATTTCGGAGATTCATTTCCACGTTAGCCACCAATGAGTCTACGATTATTGCGTTGATTAGTCGTGAAGATCAGTTCAATTTCGATTTAGTTTTAATTATCTCTCTATTATAATCAAACACAGAATTCTTTGGCTACTGCCTTTTTCAAGTCAAAAATCGAACCAACTTGGTATATATATCAAATTAAATTAGCTCGTTTTATTTGATTGCATGATCACTTCTTGATGAGGTAGGCATATGTACAAGTGAATACTTTGGATGTGAAATTTTAATTACTCATTGTTATATTTATCTAACAGACAGGATAATTTATATTTCGTTTATACTTATTGCAGTGTTTTGTAGAAAAAGAAACATGATAGAAAGTTTCCAAATAAACCTTTATTCACTGTCATTAGATCCTATCTCTACTTTGGAATGTATTTTCTATTACGAAATGCATGTTCTGAAATGGAGTCGAATGTTATATTAGAACATATATGTGGTGTATAATTATGTTCGTATTTTCACATAGTTTGTGAATGTTGGTTGCAAATGAGGCTAAGTACTTTCAACCATTTCAATCTTATGGCACTTGAAGAGATTTTTTTCCCAGTTGTTAAGGTCTATATCACTGTTGTAATTTGCCATTCTTGTGTCTGAATAAGGCCAGTAAGCTCAGATAACCACCAGTAGTTAATGGCAATAATCAGCTATGAGCAAGTCGATAAATCATAATACAATGTCTTTAAAGTCGTTGTTTATTATTAGTATTCCGTATATTTAATTTTATTTATAGTGTAGCCATACATAAATGTGGATTCATTTAATGTGTTAAATTTAATATTCTCATACTGAATCTGCATTTATAGTTTCCTTTCAAAATTCCATCCAAACGAAAAGGTTTATTTTGTTAATTTGGCTTTGCATGTCCTATTAGCAATATTATGTAGTTTGTCTTTATTCCATTTTCGTCTTTAATTTTTTTTAAAGAAAGATCAGATGTAATCTGATTACTCAAAATATACTGTAAGAATGCATTAAATCTTCCTCGTCGAACACTCTAATGGATGAAAGGAACGATATATTTTAATTAATTTTCTGTGGGCTATATAAGAGTAATTGTATAATTTAAGGGTAAAATAATGTAATAAAAACTGTCGTAATAAGTGGCAATTATAAAATTCAGCTATCTGTCTATCCAGGTAGTTCTTGTAGACGGAATTCGGCCATCTTAAGAATAGTTTTAAGGCTCAAAGTTATGGGTTTGTGGAGAGGTATTATCATATTTCGCAAACATAAGACACTGTGAGAATTTTCTCCATATGGCATGAATCATATTCAATTTTTTCCTGATATTCAGCTCTTTATTTCTTTTCGTTTGTATAACAAAGTGTACTGTTTGATACAAAAGAAGTTTCTGTTTAAAGTGTATAAATCTAAAAGATGCTACTCTAAATCTGTTCAGTGATATTTAAGAATTCATAAATCTATCTAAATACAGTGAAAATGAAATGCTCTCCTAGAACTCTATAAAGTAAGACAATCGTTAATTTTCAATCGTTATTTCAAGTTCATATGTCTAACCATGGGATGGATATTTCTTATTCCAGTACGTACTTTCAAATTAGGGTACAAATTTTAACTTATTTATCCACCTAATAAAGAAAACTAGATGGATAAATAAAGAAAACCTTATTCTGTTTTCACAGTAATCGATTTTTTTTGATAGACATTTAAAGTCTTATTTATCATACAAAATAATCACAAGATAATGTATTTCGTTACTATCATAGTTCTTGAGTGAAATCGTTATTAATAAGATGTCAACTTTGTGAAGATAGTTTACATGACTAATCGACTTAAATAAAAAAATATGATAATGTTTTACATTCAATGTTAAATCAGCGGTCTGTAGTTAACACGCTCGCTACTAGCCTTACTGAAGTGTCTCGTACTAGGACGAGATAGTTACCCCTGGTTTTCAATAGTAGTTGTTTGGCTAGTCATTTCATGATATTTTCGAAATGATTAGTATAGGGCAAGATAGTTAGATGAGACTGATTTACATCAATTCGCCATTACTATACATAATAGTTATATTATAAAACCATAATAACACAATTATTTTTAACGAATATAATTAAAGATAACATTGTATATGAAATATATCAAGAGATGAAATTAATGTTACATATTCACATTCTATAAGCATACTGAATAGTTTTGCAAATGAGTTTTGTCGAAGCATTTGGGATTGTTATTTGTTTGAAGCTAATGGATATAATTGATTTTGTTATTTGTAATGTCTATTATTTATTATGGTCTAATAAAGTGTTTATTTACATTTAAGTTGTGTATAATTAATAAGAACTGTATTAAAGCGTAAATCAATTCACTTAGTTGGATAACGTGTAATTTGTTATGTTTATCTATTCATGAAAAAGACAGTTCTTATTATGATGATTCATCCTGTTAGCTTACAATGAAAAAAAAGAAAGTGTTATTCACTAAGGAAATTATTACAGTGTTCTACTTTATATAATAAATGAGATAGATTAAATTATTAGTTAATTATTAATTGAATTAAGCTGTTCTTATCTGTTATGATCATCGGTAAATTATATGATCTCAATTATGTATCATGTCGTAGAGCTATTATAACTTTCAAAGATTGAATAATCATAATGTATTTGATTGAGATATAGCATCAGATCATCACTTGCTGGTCGCCAAGATGAAATTGAAACTCAAGAAGCACTGGACAACGGGGCGGACAATATCACAAAAGTTCAATACGGCCTTTCTTCAGGATACTAACAAACTCAACAAATTCAAGATAGTCCTCAGCAACAAGTTCCAGGCCTTTCATGATCTACTCAATGGAGAAGGAACTACTGTGGAGAGCAACTGGAAGGGCATCAAAGAGGCAATCATTTCAACATGTCATGAGGTTCTGGGCCACAAGAGGCACCATCACAAGGAATGGACCACTGTTGATACACTGGATAAGATTCAAGAAAGAAGGAACAAGAAGGCAGCAATCAATACCAGTCGAACAAGAGCAGAAAAAGCCAAGGCACAAGCTGAATACACAAAAGTAAACAAAGAAGTGAAGAGGAGCATCAGAACCGACAAACGTAAATATGTGGAAGATTTAGCAACGACGGCGGAAAAGGCTGCAAGAGAAGGAAACATGAGACAATTGTATGACACGACAAAGAAACTCTCTGGAAATCGCCGCTAACCAGAACGACCAGTGAAAAGCAAAGAAGGCAAGGTAATTACTAACATTCAAGAGCAACAAAACAGGTGGGTAGAACACTTCAAAGAACTCTTGAATCGACCAGCACCACTGAACCCACTCAACATCGAAGCAGCACCCACGGACCTCCCAATCAATGTTGGCCCACCAACAATTGAAGAAATCAGCATGGCCATCAGACAAATCAGGAGTGGCAAAGCAGCAGGACCGGACAACATTCCAGCAGAGGCACTAAAAGCAGACGTAACGGCAACTGCAAGGATGCTCCACATTCTCTTCGATAAGATTTGGGATGAGGAACAAGTACCAAAAGACTGGAAAGAAGGACTTCTGATCAGAATACCGAAGAAAGGCGATCTGAGCAAGTGTGATAACTACAGGGGCATCACTCTTCTCTCAATACCGGGAAAAGTCTTCAACAGGGTATTGTTAAACAGGATGAAGGACTGTGTAGACGCCCAACTTCGTGACTAACAGGCAGGATTCCGTAAGGATAGATCGTGTACAGACCAAATCGCAACTCTACGGACCATTGTGGAACAATCAATTGAATGGAATTCATCACTCTACATCAACTTCATTGACTACGAGAAAGCATTTGATAGCGTGGACAGAACAACACTATGGAAGCTTCTTCGACACTACGGCGTGCCTGAGAAAATATTCACTATCATACAGAATTCCTATGATGGATTACACTGCAAAATGGTGCATGGAGGACAGTTGACAAAGTCGTTCGAAATAAAGACCGGTGTCAGGCAAGGTTGCCTACTCTCACCCTTTTTCTTTCTCCTGGTGATCGACTGGATCATGAAGACATCAACATCAGAAGGGAAACACGGGATACAATGGACATCTAGGATGCAGTTGGATGATCTAGACTTCGCAGATGATCTGGCCCTTCTATCCCAAACGCAACAACAAATGCAGGAGGAGACGACCAGTGTAGCAGCAGCCTCAGCAGCAAAAGGTCTCAATATACACAAAGGGAAGAGCAAGGTTCTCCGATACAACACAGCATGCAACAATCGAATCACACTTGACGGAAAGATTTGGAACATGTAAAGGTCTTTACATATCTGAGCAGCATTACTGATGAACACGGTGGATCCGATGCAGACGTGAAGGCGCGGGTCGGGAAATCGAGAGCAGCATATTTACAACTGAGGAACGTCTGGAACTCAAAACAACTGTCAACCAACACCAAGGTCAGGATTTTCAATACAAATGTCAAGACAGTTCTACTGTATGGGGCGGAAACTTGGAGAACAACGAAAGCCATCATCCAGAAAATACGAGTGTTTATTAACAGCTGTCTACGCAAAATACTTCAGATCCGTTGGCCAGACACTATCAGCAACAACCTACTATGGGAAAGAGCAAATCAGATCCCAGCGGAGGAAGAAATCAGGAAAAAGCGCTGGAAGTGGATAGGACACACATTGAGGAAAGCACCCAACTGCGTCACAAGACAAGCCCTCACATGTAATCCTCAAGGCCAACGGAGGAGAGAAAGACCAAAGAACACATTACGCCGGGAAATGGAGACAGACATGAGAGAAATGAACAAGAATTGGATGGAACTAGAAAAGAAGGCACAGGACAGAGTGGGTTGTAGAATGCTGGTCGGCAGCCTATGCTCCATTAGGAGTAACAGGCGTAAGTAAGTAAGTAATTTGATTGAAATCATGAACCGATAGATGTTAGACCACCATTGGAAACCTGGAAGCACTGGACGTCCGTTTCGTCCCATTGTGGGATTCCTCGTCAGTGCGTATTCACTGAACCGGCATCTAATGGTGTTAGTGTTCAACATCAACCAATCCACGAAATTGCGCGACCATCTTCCATTGTACTGAGGTAGATACCCGTCTCTACCCGACACAGATTAGCTCCACTGGTCACGGCTTCTTACTAGAACTCCGAGAATTTCCTCACGAAGCTATTCACTAGTGAGCACATGTTAATTATCAGTATAGAGGTTGTGGAGATCATTAAGTTTTTAATTGAGATCATGAACCGATTGATGTTAGACCACCGTTGGAAATCCCTATACTGACAATCACAATGTACTTTGTCTCCTGCCTTATTATGCATTTAAGGTTCCAATATACCACAGTTTTATAATTTGAAGAGTTGACTGTCAATCATTCTGAGAATAATTGGGAATTTATGGTGTAATTAGTGTTTACAGAGGAGAAGATCGCACTTCGGGTTCATGTCATAAGAGCAAGATGTTCGTTATGTTAGTTTGGAGCAATAATTTATTTTTACTCTAAAAGTGAACCGAAATCGTACAGATACCATAATTATTTGCTTTTTCGTAGTTTCTAGTAGTTTATTTAGTCTATAGTGCAAAATCTCTCTCTCCGTTTTATGGTCAGATCCTGATTTAGAATTGTATTTAGTATTGTATTTGTGGAAAATTAAATTTTATTAATTTGGTTAAGGATGACGTAGATTTTATCAGCCCTAATTTGACGGAAATCTTTTGTCTGCTCACATTTATTCAACCTCGAAAATTTATGTTCAGAGATTATTCATTAGGAATCTGATATACTTAATGTTGGATAGTAGATACATATGTCAATATTACTACATTTATAAAGAATTTTCATCCATTGAATTCTACCATTTCATTCTACCAAATGTACCTATGAGTTTATATTTGCCGACCCAAATTGGTATAACTTTATACTGCACTGTAAATGATACTCGAACCCAGGTGTACTGATGATTTTTCAATATCACCCGTTCTATTGTCGCCTGAGATCTGTATGGAACTGATGTCAATTCATTTACATGTCTCCTTTCATCTATTTTGTTCCAATTAGCTAGTTATGATCGTTTTCTTTAATCAATACTCCTATTTCTGCTGGGAATGTAACTAAAATTCTTGTTGTTGGTTACTATTTTTAGTTATTTAAGGCATATCAAAATTTCTAATTTGTTTGCTGTTGTGTTCTGTTAATAATTCCATTGTTTTTCTTTTTCGTATTTCTTTTCTGTCTTTTAGTTAGTTTTACTGGATGGTATGAAACAGTATGCAATACGACTATTTGATGCCATTCGTCAAAGTGAAGCGTTGCATGAAATTAGTCCAGGGATAGGTAATACACTTTAATTTGTATCTTTTCCAACTCTTAGATTTTGCTGATTAGTACTCTACTCAATAGGTTATATATTAAAACACTTAACACCCATGTACATCGCCGCTTTCGAAGTATACATGTCGTTCTATATTGATTCCTGATAATGCATGATTTTGAATTTGTTCCGGTGTTTTGCTTTTAGAATGCTTCGTTTTTCTTATTAATATTATTAAGATTTGAATGTGCATTCCCGTGGTTTTTTATGCATGATTCCTTTATCACTGAATCCTTCAGTTTTCCCTGGATAGCAGTAAACTCTAATACACATGGATATGGGATGGTAGGATTTTTCAAGCGATCTTGCTATGTCAAAAGTACTTAATAAAACATTATGTTCTGTAAATATAAGTTTAAATTGTCAACATATTGGAATCGTGTGATTGTCATTCTCTTATTTTCTTAAATACTCCGTAATCACTGTGACATAATGAAAACGTTTTCTTGTTTTGATTCAGCTGAACCATTAATTCAAGAAGCGAAATTCAAGTTAATTGTGACAGAAGCTAAAGAACTATTTATGCAAAATTGGCTGTCATACTGTCAGTCGTATGAACGAAACTTAAAATTAAACAATCCTGTTTTATTTAATATTCCTAAATGGCGTTCAAAACAGTGGTATTATGCAAAGGCGGAATACCTTCAGGTAAATTGATGTACCAATATATGATCCCTTATATTAACTGTATGTTTTTGCCTGTCAGGTTTTGTATTTTAAATAGCTTAATAATTTCACTCAATGATTTTATGAAAAAGTCGTTTCATGTTCAAAAATATGTACAAAATGTGTTAGATAGAATACTGCCGAATTGTTTACATGATGAAAATAACATAAATAAATACATAAAAGACGGAAATCTGTTGATCATCATTTTTCCCTCTCAGGAACTTTCAGTCTTTGACGTAGTAACTGTTGTTAGCATTGAGCCTATACAGGAGATAGCGTATCGCAAAGCCACCTTTGTGATAATAATGAAAATGAAATTTTTCAAAGTTGATTGATATCATTCTTTCTATCAGTGCATGATCATGCTGAATCACCACTCCACCGACTAGCATTAAGTTTGAATATAATTAAGTTCTGGTTGTAATCGGGATGATTTAGAAATACTGCAATTGAAATGAAACCTGATTTCTTATTTTATCAATGGTTTGAAGTTATTACTACTTTTAAAAAAGAAAATCGGGGCTTTTTGTTCACTGGTTTTTCTTAGATGATACTATTATGTATGAAATAAACTACGCTCAATAAACGTGTTTATTGTATATGAAGATGGCTCTAAAGTCACTTTGAGTCGGTAAACGTGTGTACATTCTCACTAATTGAATATATTACAACAATATTTCTGCAAATCGTACCGTCAAACACACACACGATGTGTTTTTTCGTTTACTTGTATGTTTTGATTATCAGAGTTAAACCAAAACAATGTTACTGTTCTTATTGTTAATCGCATTTTATTGATTTACTGGTGTGATTTACACTTGAGATTGAATTTTATTTTGTTTAATGCAAGTTAGTTTCTTTAATTTTGCATTAGAACCCTGGTAATCAGTGCCAGTTATTATGAAACCGATTCTCGGAATTTTATGTGAAATAAATATTATAACATAAGTTAGCATATTTTTCTCAATACTGTTAACTCTGCTCCTCTGTCATCCAGGTTCAAAACAGTTTCAAATGTAATAGTGTGTAAATTATGTTTATAATGACGAGAATTGGTCCTTTTCCAGCATCATTTCATACATGAAGCATGATTTGATTCCTTTTTATTTAATCGACGAATATGATTGTTTTCTCTGAATTCCTTTTTATTATTTTTTTGATTCCTTCTACATTTTATACTAGGAGCATAAGTTGGACATTCATGAATACGTTTTATCGAAATGCATTTCAAATGGTTTAGAATCTTATGCTTTTTTAATTGGCCGTGATTTAGCATTTTTAAAAGACGTAAGCAGTGGTGATGTTTATTAATTTCTGTTAATCACTTTTGGGGGTAGAAATTGTCCTAAAAATCATTATACGGTTCTTCATTTTAAGTTAATCTGATGAAAATATTAGTTGATGTCACTTTGTGTATATTTACTTTCTTTAATAAGAAGAAACAAATAGGTTTCGTTTAGTTCTAGTTTTTCTTTGTTATTTTTCCATAGTACGCTTTGGGGACAGATTACAATTACAGCTTTTTTCAATTATTTTCTTTAAAACCTCACTAAATTTATGAGCGGCTTGCATTTTTGACAAAATAATCTGAAGGTAATATTTACTTTATCATGTTGTAAATACTTTTACAATGTTTTCGATATTGCATGATAAACTTTTGTTTAATGATAATTCAACGTTTCTATGGATATCTATTAATTCTACACACTTACATCAAAGTGAGCATCTCAAAATGTTTTGATTCATTATTTTTTAATTGTTTGCTGTCAAAGCAATGTTGTAAATCATTTTTCTCACTGCTTATGTGATTCTGTCGTTGGTATTGAACGCCTGGTTGGTAATTATAACTTTATAACATTGTTATTTTTACTATATCACATAATAGTAGGCTTTTCGAACAGACAAACCTGTCTGAACTTTTATGGATCTAGACCCTCTGGGTATCACTTGTTTTGTATGATATTTTGTTCATATTCAATCTAAAACATTGGATTTGGGATACACTTGTCTGATTCTATTAGTGTGGTCTTAACATCACGTTTGTTAGGGATTGGAAGTCACTATCCAATCTGTTAACGATTTTGTTTATCACAAGTAAAATCAGTTTTTTACCAGATCATATGACCAAATCACGTTCTTGTGTGTTTGTCTTTAAACATTTTTCTGTCTGACTCGCGTTGTTACTTTTGTTAGCGTTTCAGTCCACTGATATTAAAAACTGTGAATATTTTTCTATTCTCTGGGTTGTCTTAATTTGTACCACTTAATGTTAGTTACCAATAAAGACTAGTTACCCGGTGTTAATTTGTGCTAATTCTTTAGTGTGAGAAGGGACCAAACAATTACCTTTACCTTGGATTTTGTTTAGTGAAAAAATGTTCCATTCCATTACAAATAAGCTAATAGTCATTTCTTCGAAAATGTTCTAATGGTCTAATAAAACATTTTTATAATGAAAGTTACTATCGAATTTAATATCCGTGTGTCACTGGTGTTTTATTTTATCTTATTTACAACTTTTTTTCTCTTTCGGATTTATTTTTCTTAGCGTGAATGTTTCCTACGCGATCAAATATTTAAAAGCGCCAGATTTCCAGATGAAGAGTTCATTTTTCAAGTTTCACGACGCTGTCTTCGTAATGTTTATGTGTATCGTGAGGACTTTAGCTTATCAAGTCGTTATCAACTTGTAGATACAATATTGGTCAGCTATGATTCTGATAAAGATTCTCCTGATAAACTACCTACAATTAAGCAACATATCAAAAGAAACAAAACTCAGAATTGTACAACTGAAGTTATTCCTTTGATGTACCGATTTCCGCGCAATTCTTTTGCTATGAATACGTCCAAGACCAATAAAGGTGATAATTTCCCGTCTCATGGTGACTTCTTTACTGATAACATTGTAGCATCAAATACAGACTTTTCAAATATTTTAAATTCACCTGATCATCGTTACCGAGACCCGTTACTCCCACCCAAGAGCAGTACTGACCATGTAAGTTTGTCATTAATATGTCCTAAACTTGTTTCACATAATTCCTCTATGAAGTTATATTATATTGCTCACACAATATACAGTAGTATATGTAAACTATCATCTACAACAATTCTACGAACGAAGGGTTAAGAAAAGTTCAGCCTAAAAATGTCACACTCCATCTTATCCTACAGATTTCCATCTCCAACAGTAAGGCTTTAAAAGTATTGAGCTAATACATCAAATATTTCTCACAAAAAGGATGTATGTTAATGGCCTTAAACAGCTGTTTATTAGACTCAGCAGTCACTCTCCCACTACTAATCCAGTTCCCTCTTCAGATCCTTTTCGAAGATATATCCTTTCACAGTGAGGGTAACAAGAGTAAAATAACAGCCTCCATATCTGCAACTGGCCTTCACATTCTCTTATTTGTGACAAAATCCCTTCACCTTTGTTTCTCCGCTGTCGACCCTTCTCTTATCACTTTGTCTTTTTCACCACGTTTCTCCAATGCTAACGACTGTAGTTCACTAAATATTATTTATGGTCTGTTGAAACAGCACTCTAAACTACATGTTGAACGTTTCAGTATTCGAACCTTACGTCAAGTTGACTAGCAGTCTTTCTTAGCTAGAACACTAGAACCTGCGTGCAATCAAAGTGTGCTGTCTCCGAGACATACACTCAAGACCCGGTTGTAGTCATTTACTCTGATTCACCTAGCTAATATGCAGAAACCGGTTCGACTTACCCTCTTTTTATCTGGAGTCTTAACTGGCATTCCTCATAGTCTTCAGTGACTCAGGTGCATCCATTCTTTGTCTCTCCCCAAATTCTAAGCCTCCGAATTCCTCACAGTTTCTTTTTATTTTAGAAATTTACATTTTCTTGAATCGTATCTTCTGTCCCTAATCTTTCCAATCACCACTCATACTATTACTATCACCAACACCTTGTGCTAACGAGGCATGACAACCAATACCGATGTACATACATTCGAGGTGCCACGTCGTTACTGACTGACTGACTTCTCATATCCTTGCTAGTGTAGACATAACATCGAGTTTAAACGTGGAACAGGCTCTCCTGAACTGGATGCCAATCGTCAGTTACTAATGAACCGTCCGACTGAACGGGATAGTAAGAACTTGGAAAGATATGAAAACATCATTGCCTATTGTTCACCTCTTCTAATGCTGACTGGAGTTTGAATGAAGCAAAAGGTAATTTTCATGGGAGGACTTCTACTACCCTCCAAAAAGCCAAACCCTCAGACGTAGTAGCCGTACCAGAACATTTTAGCACCTAAGTTGCTAATGTAAATCAAGGTGAAAGACAGGTATGTTTTACAGTATTCCAACTCAATAAACAGACAACAGCAATCGTTTGCTATAACTATGCTCAAACAACCACTTATTTTTAACAACCATCAATTTTAGATGTTGTTCGAGATACCATTCCCACATGACGATCCTTAAAACTCACCCATCGACGGACGCAAATAAACCATATTGCCGTCAGTGGTAATTGGAAAGGCTCGATAGAGGAGTATCGCTGATTCTGGAGTATATGATTAAACTGTGATAATGAGAGTATTTACTTGTTTAGTTCTTACTGTATGCAGAAAAGCCACAGGAAGTAAACTGCTTGGAATTTAGCTTGGCGACGGAAAAGTTAAGATTATATTTTTTGAGGGACAGCTCGAGAAGTGGTTTGTCAGATATCAAGATAATGTGCACTCTGAAAGAAAAAGGAATGGAAAAGGCAGTGACAGTTGGTAACAACAGACAACTTTCCAGCTTTATCAACGTGATAGGTATTAAAATTCTAGAGTTAGACTATTTCGGAAAACGTGGAACACTTTGAAGAACAGTTTCACTGAACCGTTACGAAACAACCTAAATCGAATGTAAATAGAAGTCCCTAGATCCTTAATTAGGTTGTGAAAACCAGGAACAGCAGCAGACAGTGATAGACTAACCCCAGAGGTCTTGATGGATAATGGTCCACTTTCAGTGGTTAGAATGAATAAGATAATGACTAAAGCCACAGAACTGAACGCCATCTCGTCTAGGTGGTCTCAATTGCTGATCGTTCCAGTCTATAATTAAGGACAGAAATCCTCTTGTGGCAACCACAGATGAATCAGTTTGACTAATAGTGCTTTATATATTATCCTCAATAATCATACAGCAGTTATCTTGGCCTCATGAAGACCGGACTCGAAAAAATCAAGTTGGTTTCAGACATAGACTCGCAGATTCTGGGACACAGGCATGTTTTACTGACTCCTAATCATAGTTGTATTTCTCGACCTTAAGGTAGAATTTGACTCCGTTGATCGACAAGTTTTATGTGTGTCTATCAATGAAACGCATATTTAAAATATATATCAACCCTGTATTGCCTCTCTACTTGAACACTGATCGAGTTGGAGCTTATGGCGAACCTTCATCGATATCAATAAAATCATTTGGTTTTCATATAAATCTCCCACTTACTTCGTTTTTGGTCTAACTTCGTCAATGATATTCTTTTAAGGACAATTCTATCATCATCTGTTTTTCCAAGAACCAACTTTCTACGTGAAGATACATTTGCTAACCTAAAATACCCAGATGATATAGTTTTGTTCCATACGGCCTTCTGACCTCCTTGAACAACAATCCAAGCATGTTTGAGATACGATTCTCTCCAGATACAAAATGCTGCCTCAACACCTGAACTATTGGTATGAAATGAAGTAGTTGAGCTATTACTACTGCATCATTCGGAAGATTTATCTCCTTAATTACGTGTTTGGTTATCCCTTAAACGGTGTACTTTTTCCAGTTAATAAATGTGAAATCCACTGAGACTGTATTCCATTCGTAATCGTCATTCTTGACACTAACTTTATTATTATTTATTAATTAGTTTTTTCATTAATATTTGTTAATATCACTACTATTATTATTTTTCTAATCTTATACAGGTGAATTATTCGCAATCAAATTTTGTCATGCAATCTACATTAGTGTTAAAAGCTTCGACACGTCATTTTATGTGGCGTTGGCTTGTTTTCTTTCTATGCACTTATTCATGGCTCATCCGTTCATCGCAATACTTTTTTGTAAGTTTAAATATTAGTCGATTGTGTAGTCCCTATATTTCAACATTTATGTTGATAGTTTTTAGTAGTCATAATCAATGAAGAAACGAAATAGGATTGAATGAATGAGTCTTGTTTGTTTCTATGTGAAGACAAGGTTTTGCAGAATCCAATTACCGATTATATTGAAATAAGAACTAGTAGGATGTTTGTGATCAATTATTCAAAAAAGACGATATCAGGTGAATTAATGGGTTGGAAAATTATTAAGGATTCAGTATATCAGCTAATATGTGAGTACCGACTACCAATCTCATTTCACTGACTATGAATTTCAGGTCAGACAAACTTAATTGTTATATACGAACTCACAAGGTAAGAGCTTGTTCGTTGCTAATTTGACTGCTTAGTTTCATAACAGCTCTCACCTTGAATTAAAATTAACATTAAAATAACTGAAGACCAATGAGTACTGGACTTCTGTTTCATCCTGATATTTTGATTCTTCAGAACCTCGACTTTATGCAAAATCAAACACATCGCCTGACTAGTAATATTTTAGTATATACACTGGGGAGTATGAACAAAGCATAAAGTAACTTCACACATGTCTTGTAATTTCCCAGTTTATTTTTGTCAGTATTTTGAACTCTTCGTGTTAGTCAAACCATTTAAGTTAACCTATTGTTATTGTATTACGTAATGCAAAAAGTCATTTAGTTCTATTTTTAAGTATGCGCATAAGTGTTATAACTTAGTATAGTAAAAACTGTCTACCATCGTGTCTTCTATAAATCATGACACTTAAATGTTGACTGTCGTTTTTGTAACATACTAGTTTTTAAATTTGGTATAAACATCACGATGACTAAGCTGTTTTTGTTTTTTGTTTGGCAGGTCATTATCCCTTTCCAATCATGTGTCAGTTACGTGGTATTGTTCAAGCCGACGTCAATCTATTACATGTACAAAGTAGATAAAAATTCAGTAAGTTAACAAGTTTAACTCACGGGCTATTTGTGATTTATACGATTACTTACTTCATCAAGGCTTTACTGCTCAGTGAAAGTTTCGTATTTCTCATTAAGCTACTATATTTCAATAAGTAGTAAAAAAATGTTTTCTCAAAATATTTGATTGAAGCTTTAAATGTCATATCGGGTGAAAATATTAACTGGTCTTTTAATATGATTTTCTCTTACCGTTTATTATATCTTGGTGACTGTAATACGAAATATCTCTAGTGGAAATGATCTTGTCTATTTCCCTAATCTCATGTTGGCTCATAACACGCTCAGGTAGTAATAATAGATCACAATCTGACCTAATGACTGTATTTCACTGTGATATAGTGTAAATTATGCGAGTTGACTTTGTATGCTATTGTTAGGATTGGTTTACACCTGAAAACCTATCTTTCATCTTGTTCCACATTGTTACGACATTGATTCCAATGGTTTAGATCCATACTTCTATACTTTTCAAAGTGTTTTGCTGAGCATTCTATACTAAATTTATGACTGGTATATAATAATTTTTGTTTGTTGCTCTTCAATTTAAAGGGCTATGTATATCATGACAAAGCATATTATAATCATACTTTAATCAGCTTTCTTCGTCAAATGTGGACTACACTACGTAAAAATAGGCAAAATTTTGACCATCAATTGTTATCAACTGGGATTTTTCGATGGTATATAATACGACCAATTCATTGGATCTGGACGTATATAATTTGTGGTGTCTTGACAACCATGGTTCTAATAATATTTTGGCCTACACTATGTATTTTATGCTCTACCACTTCAATAGTAGTCGGTGTGCTATCGATACCTGTGATACCATTACTATCATTACTTGCACATTTACTTGGTTTACTGTTTTGGAATGCATACACACCGGGTATGTTAATGTGTTGTTCTCATATATATTTTCATTAAAGAATATTTGCTTTATGCAATATTCTTTCATACCACACTGATGAGTAATATGAAGTAGATATTTGAATTACGTTACTGATTATCCTAATTACGCTAGTATTCAGTGGTATTCATTAACAATTGATTTAACCTGTAGGCATGTTAATATGCCTAGATCCTAGTATAATTTAAATGAATAATCATCTCATTTTTGGTTGCTTATTTCATCAGTGTTCGGTTTTATATGGGTTTGCTAGTTATCGTATACTGAACAAAAAATAGCGGTTTTGAATTGCTGGTGACATAAAATTAATCAGTTTACCAATATTTGTCGTAGAAATAAAATTATTGTCAATTCATCCCAGTTTAACTTCTTTGTTTTTTCTGTTGTTAGCAATTACAATCCGACTTCATCAATGAATAATTCACTCGTTATTCAAATAACTCATTTTATGAGTAATATTATAACATTCATGCCAATTATCGGTCATTGTGTTTAGATCTAATGTTTTTGTTTTGTTATTTTCTATCTTGAAAATCTCAGTTCTTGGTTCTAATCGTCTGCTACCATTATTCGAGATTATTATTTACCAATTCTTGTTAAAATCGATCGTGCAATTTTTAGTCAGTGTACTGTGTGCATTTATATTATGCCCTGTATGGTTCATACTTCATCTTTTATTCACCGTAACCAAATATCTACTGTATACTTTGTGGGATGCTTTCGTATTTCACTTCGTGTTCAAACTAGTCACTCGTATACCATGTCAAGAGAATTGTTCTGTAAAACGTTCTAATGATCCTAAAACTGTGCGAAGCATTTGCTTACTGGTTAGTTTTCAAAGCTTTATAAATTAACTATTATTTGTATCACATTTTTAAAATCGTATTTGTTATTTTTCTTTATGTGAACACTGTGTGTCTTGTAAACCATCATCATAAACACTGATTATATACGGTTAGCTCGTAAACAAAATGTGTTGCGTTGCAATAAAATGAAAAGTGATAAATATGTATTTTAAAATGAAAATGTTCCAACCATTTCGTTTATCTAAAATGTACAACATTTAAGCAAAGAAACTGTTCTGTAACTTTTTCTAGCAGCTCATATTTCTTTTAAACAATTATTATAAATGAATGTCAAACTAGATTAAGAAGATCAACTTCGTTGATAAATAGTCTATTATATAGTTTATATCACAAACTAACCATACACAGAAAACGATTAAAAGCTAGGGAGCTGTGGGCAGTACTATCCGCGACCATGATTTACTTCAAGAGGTAGTTCCAAAGGAATAAGTGACTGATGGAGTTCAGTCGTGTCGAGTGTGAGGTACATATCATCATTGGCAATGGGTGATGATCATACATTATCACAAATTGATTGAAGTGACCATTCGACCCCGGATCTATTAAGTTTAAGCTCTCGTAATGAAGCTTAAAGTCCCTAGGTTAGGTTCCTGGTGGGGTCTTAAGTACACACCATTAAGGAGTCCTATACTACGACATAACAGCTGTCCACTACTCCTTAGTTTTTAATAACTGTCTAACTATGATCAGTCAGTGATATGAACTGTGATCTCTTACAGTCTACTCAAACCCCTACAGTAGAAACAGTTAAATATAGATTTTATAATTTACTGCGTATTAGGAATACGTCTAAAAGCGTCAAGGTCTTTACTTTCCTCATTACTGTTGAATATCATTATTACTAAAAATAGTTTACATGATTCTTTTTTCTTATCAACTGTATCATTACAATTTATACGAGAGTTTAAGAGTTGAGTTATAGATACAAGATTCCTTGTTGAAATTGATTTACAGACTTGGTATTGGTTCATGAGGTCACTAACTACTGAAGTGAGTCGTGTAAGTGGATGCAGACTTTATGATTGAAGACTTTAACTGAAGTAGCCCTGAGTCAGACTGAATGGAGCAAATTTATTCACTCTTTGTCTTAAAATACTTGAACTTATTATTCCACGAATTTATTACCCAATCTTATCGTTTGTGCCTATCCTCTTATACTGCTAGTAATATTGTTAATAATTCTACTACTATCATATTTGTCTTGACTTCATTTCACTGTGCAGATTAGTTGCTGTTTCTTGAAACAGCTCAAATATTTTGTCAGGTTCTACGTTCCTAACGCCTAACTGATTAAATTACGGGTATTCCCACTGATTGTTGCTCATGAACTAGTTTTGTATTATAGTCTATAATTTTCGAAAAAAAATAACTATGAATTGATACATTTTATTTATTAGTTAGAGAATATAGGCAGTATCAAAATTATTTTGGCGTTTGAGCATAGTTTCCATCACTTTATGAGTTATTTTTGTTAAATATATTGCTTCATCATTTTCTCTGTTATTTGATCGATAACTATATATTTACAATTATATGATTGATTATTTGTCCAGGCTCGACCTGAAGACATTTTGATTATACTTAATGTGCAATTAGAATATTTGGAACTGAATTTATGGAAAAGCCAAATGGAATCTATGGCTAAGAAGCCTATCACTGTGTACAAGTAAGCGTAATCTATAAATTATTAATAATAACATGTTAGAATTAACAAATTTTTGTCAAGCACTTTCAATATTGAGTTTTAAAAGTGCTATATCTTTCCATTTCTTAATGAATGTTGTAAGTTTTTTTCAGTTAGATTAGCTATTTCATGTATTAGGAGTCCAACTAAAGAACAATTTATTCTGTATGAACAATGGATTTTCTTTCAATACTAACATGACTTTAGATTATTTTATATCCAAAATGTTTTAGTTTACTCTTGGAGATGGTATAATATGTCTTTTACCAAGCCGAGTTAGGTAATTTTACTCGAGGCTTCTTGATCTTCAGATATTTTTAAGTCAATATTTATTTGAATTAAAAATAAAGGTGTGTTTTTAACGTATTTCGTAATAAATAAGTGTTATAAAGCTTCCCATTTACACCCACTAACTATATCTTCTAACGTAGTGATCAATCACCCATACAAAATTTTTTACCTGTTCTCATTCTATCAATCGAAAAGCTAGAAGGATCACGTACCCATCTTTTATTTTCCCTTATTCAAAATTTAAAATTCATGTGATCTTATGTACAATGAATACAAGATCATGATGCACCATAAACAGTGGATCTCATTATGTACAGAACCGAGATATTTATTCTACAGAACTATGTATAAGGTTTATGAATTATTTTCTGTGATATATGAAGGTACGTTGAGCATCGGGTCGACAACCCCATCCCGTAGAAAACAACCTTGCCAAAAAAATCACTAACCAGAATAAACAAATTAAATCATTTAAAATCTGCCCTTGGAGTTAAAGGATCTTCATTCAGTAGAATTGTTACGTCTCATTGTGAAAGACGAGATTATCCAACAGTCACGAGGCTGATATTCTTTCTAATAATCACAGAAACTATTAATACAGGTGCATGGAATGTTCGGACAATGTAGAAGACCGGGAGGACCAGCTAAATAGCTACGGAAATGAGAAGATACAACTTGGCGGTTCTCGTAATCAGTGAAATCCATTGAACCCAAGCAGGATAGAAAAGGACAGATTCAGGAGTAATACTGCTGTACTATGCTCACGAAAATAAATGCTCCACACACCGAGGGAGTTACTCTGATGCTGTCCAAGGAAGCAAATAAACCACTTATCGGATGGGAAACTCATGAACGCAGGATCATTACAACATTCTTCAAAACAAAGAAGGAGGGAACCACAGTGAATGTTATCCAGCGTTATGCACCCACCAATGATAGCAATGACAACGATAAAGATTAGTGTTACGAAAAGCTGCAGTCGATCATAGAGAAGTGCTCAGGAAAGGATCTGACCATCTTGCTGAGAGACTAAACACTATAGTCGGAATGGACAACACCGGGTATGAAAATATCACGTGATGACATGGACTGACTGTGAGAAAGGAACGATAATAGTGAGAGATTTGCGAATTTATGTGCATTCAATTGAATCATAAACTCATTAGCTTTATTTTTTTTCAAATGGACTTATTTATCTTCTATTCATTGTTGTTGTTTTTACATGTTTATTTGCTCCCTTACCTTCAGCTTGTGAACCTATTTTTGTTGATTTTTATAACCACAAGTAAACACTTTCCAGTTCGCCTTCTCTCTCGCTATATATATATATATATATATATATATATATATATATCCGATTAATTATCGATTGCTAATTGGACAAAATTAAAAAAAATTCGCATAATAGTTATTGGTATAACCGTTTTTTTTCACCTTAAACATTCTCTGTGAAATGACTTTATTGTAGGTGTTTTGCTTCCAAACTCTACACTGGAGGAATTCACACACTTGTTTAGATCTTTCTATAAAGGGAACCTCTTTTAAGGTGTGACATGGTGTTAATAATAAGCCCTGTAGTTTGCATGATTGAGCGTAGTCCTTCGCGCATTTTGTTTACTACTTCAGGTTTGTCGTATAGTTCTAATGAAAAAAAAGTTTGTCGTCGTATGCTTTCCTTATGAGTTTTTAGACTTATTAGTGGTATCTTTGTCTCTTGCCAAAAATGAATCATAGTCGTCGTACTTATTTCAGATAAGGTTTTGTATAAACCAGTGCTTATAACAGAACAAAGATTTAAATCCGCAGAGAATAAAGCGATTGAGTTGATCCTAGTCTCTTACATAAACACATGTGTTCCTTCTGAGAATATCACAGGTTTCATTTTTTGTTACATCAACCAGTTATCAACTATTTAATGTTATGAACTACTTTGTTTTCTTTCACACTGAATAGTTGGTCCATTAATAATATTATTAAATTGATTTTTACTACTCAAAGGACTAGTTGGACTATCTGAACAGTGTTTTTGACGTTCAGTCCATATCTGTATAATCGAAACAAGTTATCCATGACATTTATTCGAGATGTGTAGTCTGGATGAATTATGTTTGGAAATCGCATCGTTGCAACGATATCTAACAGATATAACTCGGAACATATAAACCGAAGAGTAAATTAATGTGATGATCTTCGAAAGCACTAGGATAGTTGGCCATGGTGACACTTGAGAAGAAAGCCAAAGAAGGAAGTTTAGAGTTGAAAGTCGATGTAAGAGGAATACTAGGAATTGAAGAGGGAGATTAATTATGAATACAATGGTCTTGAGTGCTATTAGAGGTATGAGGGGGGTTATCACCTCCCGGAAGTATTTATAAATAGTGTCGCCGTTAGTTCATTAAACTAACTTAATTTTTTTATCTTGCTTAAATGTAGATATCATCGTTAGCCGCTGGTATAAATAATCATTGACTGACTTACACTGTTTGTATAAATTTATTTCCCAAAGGAGTTATTCTTGATACTTATAGAAGTTGTTTTCGTCGGAGTTTGTAGCATGTGACATTTAGGGTGGAAATCGATGCTAAAGTTTATTAATCCGTTAGTAATTCTCAAGACGTATGTGTCTGTTATACTATGTACAATAATATAGACTTCCTTATACTAAGGTAGGTATTAAGTACTTAAGTACTATTAATAACATTTTAACACCATTTTTTTAAAACTATTGGTTGATTATATATAATCACAGTAATCATATGTATTTCATCTTTATTGTGTATAATAATATGGATACAATTTTATGCCATCAAAATTAATACTGAACTCTTATCAGATGCATCAGTTATAACATTTCAAGGAATTGGATTTCGCATAGATTTTCACCCACATTTGACCTTAAAAATGGACATTGTGCAGATCATATTGGTACAATAATTTTCACCTTTGAGGTAAAAAAAATAATATTTGATATCTTGTGATCAAGTGAACCTGTCATAAAGTGTTCTACAACCGTTTATCTGTCAATCATTTCTTCTAGATCTCATAATTTGAGATATTTATTCAATTGTTCACCTGTCTTTATAAGTATATGTGAACAGGTGCTTCATCCTATTAAACTGTATATTATTAGGAAGGAAAAAATGCATATATTAAAATTACATCAAAAACATGTTACATGTAATCATCTAGATCATAATGTAAGATCGCTCGACACCATACATTACACTTGGATTGTCACTAAATCTAATAATTCTTATAACTTATTGAGTAACATCAATATTCTGAAAACAACCGTGACCAGTAGTATAGAGCTGTTTTCAAGGCACCGGTAGTCTGGTGAAAAATACTGTTTGAACTCATGAGTCAGTTGAAGCTAGACCACCATTGAAAACCTGGAAGCACTGGACGGCCATTAGACCACTGAGCCGGCATCCAACGGTGTTAATGTCTAACTTGGTTGAAGTTAAGTGCTCGCGCGCGAAGCCAGTAGGTCCTGGGTTCGAGCCCCGGGTGGTGCGGGGTCGTGGATGCGCACTGCTGAGGAGTCCCATACTAGGACGAAACGGCCGTCCAGTGCTTCCAGGTTTTCAATGGTGGTCTAGCTTCAACTGACTCATGAGTTCAATCTGTGAAAATTTCTAAAAATCTCCACAAAACACATTCTGAAAAATACTGTATTAGGAATCAGTAGAAATTGCATAATTAGTCTCTTGTTTGTTATTATCATCAGCTTTCTTGAAAATATCAAGTTCAGTAGTTTATCATCCATTCATATCATCACAAATTTTTCGTTTAATTTTTGTTATTCTATATTTCTTACTTGTATCCACATATGATTTAGATAAGATTATTTCAATTTGATCTATTTTTTACGTTAGCGATTTTTTACAATCATTATCTTCCCTACCTATATCTGTGTTATCGGACAACACTGTCGCCGATACATTAAATACCAAAACTCGATGTTGGCTCAACCTAATAGAAAAGAGTTATAATAGGTAAGCTAATCTTTTCCTCGTTAATTATATAACATTTTTTATTAGTAATCAGATAGTGTACAGTTGAATTGTTTCGTTTAGATGTAAATCAACTTAAATTAGATAGGAGGAATAGATTGTTGGTTATTTGTTCTTTTTTTGTTTCGTAAGAAATCTCTTTTGTTGTTTCTTCATAACTCTGTACAATGTGCTAGGTTATTGTTTAACCTATGGTAGCTAACTCTTATTGATCATCTCAACATCTTATTTAATTATTCATCAATGTCTACATTAATTATAAACTATAATGTAGGCATCCCTTATAACTGATTGTAACTAGGATACTGTTTCAAAAATGCGAAAAAATAACAAAGCACAAATTAATAATAATAATAATAATATTATTATTATTATTATTATTACACTTCTTCACTGCGGTATACATTTTTAATCAACAAGATGAAGTTATTACAAATAATTTGAAATTCATTATTTTAAGTTTTACATTGATTATGATGAAAACACATTAATTGAACAGTAAAAAAGAGTTATGATAATTTCTTTGTATCTGTGACTATTCAGAAATCATAATGGTAAGGAGATTTCAATTGTACTGAATAGAAATTGGCTTGAATGAACTCATCATAGAATATTCACATGTGTTAAGTGAATAAAATATATTTAAAACCATTGAATTGAATGGCAAACAAAGAAAATACATTAAAAGTGTTTAAATGCCTTTCAAATACTGACGATAAATGCGTTTATTCCTTACAAAAAAAGTTTTCCGGTTTTGAAATCTTTTGGTTCGTTTTCCCCGTAATGAAGGTATACAAAGGAATATAGCTAACACTTTGTGTATTTAAGCAGAAAAATAATTTCATTTTGTAGTCACTTCCTGAATACTAATTAAAATGTAAATACTTAATGTTTACAATATTATTCCGTACAGAAAATAAATTTATTGTCCAAACTAAAACAAATATAATATGCTTACAAAAAATTTTAATAATACAATTTTTTTTACCTGTTTGTTTACTTATTGGTTATAGGCGTGCCAAAGCTCTTGAAGTTCAATCCAAGTCGAAATTCTTTCGACGCATAAAGTTATCTGATCGAAATTTAAAAGCAAGTTAAATATATTTTTGATATTAGCTTATTTACTTTTCGTATCTACCTGATTGTAATTATTTGAGTCAGAACATATGACCCCCTATCGTATTTATTAGTGTTTTAATGAGCTCTATATTATTAACATAAAAATTTAATGAAATTCCACCATTGGTTTTCCTACTTTTGCTTTCCATGAATTTTTAGATATTGACTAACATAGCTCATAATCAGTGTCAAGGAATAAACAGTATTCACTGTTTTTAATACGAAGCATTATATTGTAACTTCTTTATCTACTAACTATCTTCTCAATAGCGTTTGCGTTTTCAATTCTTTAAGCCAGCTCCGACGATATATTTCTCATATATTTGCCTATCCAAGAAATCTAAGCTTTCCATAGATTAATTATAACTTATAAAGTTTTATGAAAATCATATGACACATGTATCACAGAACCCAAACTAATACCCTTCGCAAAGCTGAAATGAATTAGCGTTGGAAAAGGAGGATATGTTGTTTCATGTATCGTAAATAATGGAGTTAAAAATTGTCCCGATGAAAAAGCAGAAGTTCGTCAAGTAGCTAGAGTTAACAGTGTTTGAAACATTTTCTATGAACCTATTTGAATGGTATTTAAGTAATCAGTAAAATTATCGATTCACAAGGAATGTTTTCGATGAACAGTGTCAACCGCGAGGAAAAAATACTTGCTTTCTTACTAATTCTGGAGAAAAACTTCATTTTCTCCTACTTGTCTGCTTATATAATCGCTAAACTTACTACACATATACTACGAGCCATGCCTAGTGTCTTCAATCCAAATGCAATGTGTATAACACCCTGTCTCACTAAGTTTTCATAACTCATCACTCCCTTATCTATTTTGAACATTGATTTGTCATGCTTAAAACATTCCTTTATTCTATTTTCCATCTCTATTCATGTTGTATCATAAATTGGATGCAAAAAATATATTTGTGTTGATAGAGATAATAAATAGAGTTTTCCAAAAAGAAGTCAGTTCAGTAAAACTAATTATTTTATTTGCTTAACCTATTGGGTTGTTTTTAACTGTTTAATTAACTGTCAAACTACCATCATCTATGTGAAATTGATATCTTCTAAATATTTAATGAATAATCGTTTGTCACTTAAACAACAAATGTATTAGTTTCGTAAACTTTAATGTAATCTTAATTATCGTAGCAATCATTATTAATTATTTGATCCATGATTACGCCCATTTTTCTGTTTTTTTTTGTTTGATCATTCTTCAAGATACTACTGAAAGTGAATCGTCATTTTAATTTATAAAATTGAAGCATGACAATATTAGGCCATATGCGATTTTTTAAATATAAAATTTGATTAAGCAGTCGTTTAACAGCATAGTTGTAGGTGTTTGAAATAGTGTCCTCGCTTATGATATACAGATAGTGGGCTTCAGCAGATAATCAGATCCAAATTTAAGTGGCATGGATCATTGTGTAAAAGAGCCATCAGTAAATATTTTGGTGAGACCATAGTTTATGGACGGCTTTTGAGCTACTCCAAAATTACCTTGTGAACATCCACTTACTAGGACTAAATTAGGGTTATAGAGCAGTGCGAGGAATTAGAATTATGGTTTAAAGTTGATAATTAGGGTTAGAAACTAAATTTAGGGTCTTTCACAAACACTATTTAGCAATATGAATGAATGAATTTCGCACCAAAATCCAACACCTGTTATCTTATAACTGATTGGTTCGTCCATAAACCATAGTCTCACCAATAGTTTTCAAGGCTATCAACCACAGTGGTTGCAGTCGTCACTCGGAATTTACTGACAGTATTAAAACACTATTTTATTTCACAATGCATCAGTATACAACATTAATTTTGTTGTATCTTTTCTAATAATTTAACACTGAGGAGTGATTTTAATAGTTTTCCTTTTTTTTCGCTTCCACCATTCAGTTAACTCTTGATTTAGGCTCCGAGTTAACTAAATGTTTCTATGAATTGCGGATTCTGCCTCGTATACATTTATTGGAACGACGTATTGATGATTGGTGGTCAGAATTTCAACTTGATGAAAATGATTTCACTGGTTAGTTGTTATCGCATTAAAGTTTATATATGTATTATCTAGAGTTATTATTGGAAAGTAGTTTTAAAAATCCTTATTTGAGGGATTTGATGCTATTCAAAGAGAATTAGTGAACGAATTCCAAAAAGCATCACTATTTGGTTTTTAGGAGCTTCCTTTTTAGATGTGTTCAATAATCGTTCTACAGTGACAGGACTGGAAGTACCATTGGCTATTGCTTATTCAGATAGTGGAACATTTATATTATTGGACATTCGAATCATTTATGAAAGTGATTTATCAATCTTATGTTACCCTGTTAGATTCTAGGACATATACATTATATTCTGTTGATCGTATGGTCATTACGTTAAGTCGTTATCCATGAGGTAATTATTTTATGCAAATGCTTTATGATTCTAAAAGCCTGAACTGATGTACGTGTCCTACATTGAAAATAACCGACTATTTGAAAATATGTTTTAGCTGATCTGTAGACAAAATATTCATACGGATTGCCATATGTCGTTATACTACTCATTTTCATCGAGCAGTTTCGTAGAACTTTTTAATCTGAAAAATGGTTCCTACCTTTGCTCTTCTCAAAACTGATTCTCTTGCCATTTTTCCATCGATCTAGGTAAAAATGTCAACAAAACGTTTTGTTTCTTCTATTTCCTGCGTCGTGTTTTTGAATAGTTGGTAGGTATTAATTTCCTAGTGATTTTCAAACGTCGCTCTCCGAATAGTTAGAGTAACTGGGATTTCGCGTACGAAATATCTTCTTTGGAACATCGATAATCTACTTAATCGACGTGAAATTAAGTTTGACTACAAGCCAATAGATATCTGACAGAGTTATATTGTTTGATCTGGTAAATAAACAAATAAATTATGAAATATGTCAAGTTATGCTCCGAATTCCGTGAATACTTGTGGAGACTCAGTAGCCTTTTAGAATACTATTTAATATCTAAGACATTCGGTAATGACTTTTTGTTTTTAAACAACTTAGAAATTTATTTACAGTCTTCTCAACAAAACACGAGTTATGTATTGTAATCATCATCAAACAAATTAAAAACAAAATAGTACTGTTCTGTGTATCAGAACGTATAAACTGATTGTGGACTTCTGCGGTTTTTTCTTATTTGTTCCCTTAGGTCTATGCAGTTATTTGCTAAGAAATGCATTCGGTGAACAGATTTTCTGCTGTATTACAGAAAAGAATATTACCATCCCATTACAGGTAACAATTATTTTTTTTCACTCTTCCTTATACAAATAATGTCAAGATGCATGTGTTTAACATACAAGTCTTCATAGTCTTTCATCTGTATACACTATTACCTTTAATTCTGTTTAAACTTATGCATAAGCAGAACGCTTATTGCTGTTTACTTTTTAAATGGTTTGTATGATTTGATCCGGTAGCCGTTTGAGATCTCTCTCAGCCGATGTATTTTCGTCATACGTTGAAAATGAGTGTACTCATTAGCGAGGCAACTCTGTATAGGAGATATGTAGATGATATGTTGGTCATGTGGTTAGGGATTTTGATATTGCTCAGTTTATTACATAAACTCAATATTATATACAATGATATCGTTGTGATCTATGGGGAAGAAAGTAATGACCGGTTGCCCTTCCCTAATCTTTCCATACTATGTTAATTTTCTCTCTCCTTTATTTATTATTATCACTTTTAACAGTTGAATTCATGAGTTGATCTAGGCTAGAGTACCATTGAAAACCTGAAAGCACTGGACGGCCGTTTCGTCCCAGTATGGGACTCCTCCTCATTTTGTTTACTTGACCTTTCATTTAATCGACTTTTTAGTAATTTTCAAATGTATGTGTCCAGATCTTTCGAAATTCATAGCGCAAATATATCACAGTTTTCAGATCAATTCCGTCTTCTCATTGTTATATCGAGATAAGTATTGTGTTTTATCTAAAACGTCTAAATAAAACCATATGATGTTATTTACCAATTCACTTATTATTATCTATAAGGGTTTGTATTTCTACTGTCGCTATGATCTTAATATGAATGAAAAGGTTAGAAACTGATCAATTAAAATATGTGTACCACAATCCTTAGTTTTTTGTCTTTATTTTTCCTCTGGTATTGTGTCTAGACTCGTGATGCTAGTCTTGGTCACCGATTCCGTGAATTGATACTTTCGAATTTAAGCAAACAAATTTGTGGTTCTTCAGCGCATTCAGTACATGGAAACGAGGTTCAGTCAGTTACTGTAGAATCTGTTAACCATTTGGAAGAAGAATCCTGTGATCTCATTGAATTAGATAATGAAGATGAATCTCTTTCATTAGGAAGTGATAGTTGCGCCTCTAAACGGGAAAGATTATCACAACGTTGTACAGTCATAGCTGTTTCGAGCAAGCAGGAACATAGTGACAATAATATAAGTAATTGTAATAATTTGGTTTCAAGTTCAAATTTCCCAGTCGATTCTCATAATTCAGTTACTGAAACATCTTGTGATCCAAATAGTGTTTATGTTTCGCCTATCGTACACAGCACTGTGCATTCAGGAGGATACGAACCCAATCTGATGAAGCCTTCAATTATTGATCCGATGTCTCTTATTCACATTGATTTACCAAATTTTCCTCTATCAGTTTTTGCACCAAGAACAGTTCGAACTCTTCCATCTCCTCTGAAGTAAGGCTACCGTATTTATTTTCATATTGCTTATATTCCCACTCCATTATTGATGTGCAGAATACCTGAAGTTGTATCACACTCATTTACTTAACATATTTTCAACATTCCAGTATAGGAAGCAGTAAGTAATATATTTATAATAGTTATCATAGGTGAGGTGGTGAAAGTGGATTACTAGTACGGAAAGAATACTTTTTATGGGATATCGCCTTATGATAATGATGTAAAATAGTGAGATTTGCTATATCTGATTTCTGAGTAAATTGTTCGTTTCAATATATTATATTTTGTTTCTGATTCTTATCAGTTCTCAATTTAATGTATTCTCAACAAATGTCGCACTTATAGGTCATGTTATTAACTGCTAACGAAATTGGTGTCATTTTAGAAATAAGCGTCATTTCTATGATAAACAGTCTTTAGTATTTCAAATTTCTACAATTTGGACTAGTAATCAAGTCATTCATGAGCTCAACCAAATTTTCTTTTTAAAACAAGTTGTAATCTCATTTATTGATCGGTCTTAATTAACTGATGATATATCTTGTGATCTAGTTGGACAAGCATAGGCCAGAATAATATTGAAGAAGATTGACTCACTACAACCGTTTACCGCCTTTCTACTACCTGTAATCGAGCATTTGCATATTTATTAAAATATTGGTCTATTAAAATTACAAACTGATTGATAAGTAGCATTGTTGTGAGATCAATACGTAGAACTAGTTTTTATTAGAGGCAGGAAATAAGTGACAGGCTAAACCAGTTTTATTATTTGATCTAAACATATTCATTATTTGTAGAGAGAGAGAGAGTAAAGTTTTAATATTAACTCAAACTTCACTCTAAACATTTGGTATAGAAAAGTAATGATCAAACATTAATTTTTCAAAACGTCATATATAAATGAATTAAGGTCATTTAATCAAGAAAATGAGCTGAAGGTTATTCAGTGATAATGAATAACGAATATCTTTTGAAATAACCTTCAACATAAAAATTAAATTAATATTTACAAAGATTTTGCGTGCCAGTAGATCATGTTTTAATTTATTGTGTAGATTACATTTTTTCAAACTGATATAATTTCAATAATCTCCAAATGGTTGAAATTGTTTTCCCTTTTATGCCCTAATTTCTTTCTCTTTTTTTAAAATCCTCACTTCACAGTATTGGAATTCGATTGTCTGAACGTTTAAGGATATTTTTTGTCCAAGACTTGAAATAGAATCACATGGTTACTCTCTCTTTCCTAAATTAAAATAAACTTGACAAAATGATGAGTTCTCATGTTTACTGCTTACTTACTGACGAATATGGATTTCAAAAGCGAGGTGAAAATTCTAGAGGTTTCATATGTTCATTAATGATCCAGAATACATCTGATATCCGTCCGTGTTAAAATCAATATTGATTTTAAGTAATTTTCATATTTTGCTAACAAACACTTGCCCAACAATCAAATTTACAATGAATGAAAAATAAATTGTTGATATTCATGGGATTCTTTCCATTTAATCACTAACTTGAATTCATTTCTCATTAGCATACGGTCTTTGTTATGTAACTGATATGATTACTGGACACTCACTTTTTTCAAATAATATATAATTTTTTTCATGATATATTTGTTGTTTGCCATCATGATTTATCTTGGACCCGAATTTGTTTTCTTTTTCATGTTGATATAAATGGGATCCTTAGATCTTGTTCTAGACAAAACGTCCCATCTGTTGAGAAAAGTACTCGCAATCATAACACATCAAGTCAGTGTTCTTGTATATCATTAACAAAAACCTATTTGGAGAGTGATTTTCATAAATATCTAGCTGAAACATGGTCTGATCAATCGTTTGATGAACTAAACTCCTTAGAGTCTGATCCATTAATGCAGCACAAAGGAGCAATGCAGTCTCATCATCATAAGTATTCAGCGGCTAAACGTCTGTTATCCAGTTGGACAATATTGATTTCAGGCGACAATGTTACTAATGTGGACGATATTAGTACCAATACATGCGATAAAGATGAAAACCAGGAATTACATGATAAAATTCGTTCTTTGTTAAGACTTGGAAATGAAGAAAATCAATCGTGTTATTGCTGTGACCATTTGTCTACAAGGAATTCGGCTACCATGTCTAATATTGACAAGTCTATTTTCGCATTTCAGAACGTTATTCAGCATATGGCACGAGTTTATCATCCATGTATTATCACACTGCTAATGCATTCAAGGTACGTGGTATTCATATTTTTGCTTTAGGTTACACGTGTTCATTTTTAAGTTTACGTGTTGTTTGCGGATGTAGATTCATAGTGATGGATTTTCTACATAAGATCTAATGATATTCAATATTCTCTATGGTTTAAATCCAAAAAAATTCTCAGTGGTTGCCGTTTCCAGCTTACACTCCTTTTAGTTGTTGAAGATTAGGAAACATGGCAAAATTCATTAATCTTAAATAATGATACTCTTTGTAGAGATGAACTTGTATTCTTGAATTGTATTGGGGCTCGTATGATCTGACTGGGAGGAGTTATTTGTTCTCTTTGTCCTTCTACTGTGATTACTGATTAGCTCATTTATAGTTCTCAGTAGGACTGGTGACCTATTATCTATCGAATGACACATCGACCAATGACCATAGCCAAGACCTTAACGCACTTCAATCGCCTAGCTCATTCTAACTCAGTGTCCGATCAAGAGACAAACATAGAAAACATAAATTTTCTATTGTACTTTATTCAATCATAATTCAAAACTCGTATAATAGTATACGCGGAACGTATCAAATAAGTTCTGTGACAAATAATGGTTAAATTCAGCGGGACATTTACGAAGCAAACATTTTTCAAAGTTAACGCAAAATTATACTTTGCATACGAGTTATTCTATATAGTACTGACAGACAAACAATTTGCTATACATTATAGATAAAACCTTAATTTTATCAGCGATTTTGTGCTTGACTAGTCTTTCATTTATTGTCTTTTCTTGTTCACTTTGCTTTATATGAAGTCTGATTTCTATGGTGACCGGGATACTATTGAAATGTGGATAGATCAAATTTATTTATCTATCAATATTTGGTAGACAGATCAGTTACATCACTGCTTAGTCCGTTTCTAATGTCATGCTGATCTGTAGTTTTTAAATAATAAACAAGTCAAAAGGTATGAAAGGCAACTGAGTATTTACACCGTAAATGTGTTTAGAGTAAATAAATCGCAGGTTTCATGTATAAATGCTTTACGGATTTTTCAGAATTTTTCTCAGCCCATCAGTTTCCTTTTCAGTGGACGGTTCATTAATTGCAACCTTTCTGATTGAGTTACTTGTTTTATTAAATACCTTCATGGAATGTTTTATATGTGCCATGTAAACTGAATAAAGACTTACATTTTAGCCCACTTTAAATGTGAAGTTACATATCTATTTTACAAAGCAGTATATATATATATATATATATATATATATATATATATATATATATATATATATACATCATGTGCAACCCCTTCACATTTTCTTCACTGTAATAAACCAGTATTTTCATCATCCCAGTATACTGAGAATATTTATGTTGATAATTATTATCATCTGAAAGGTTAATGTTTCAAAATATTAGTCAGAAGAAATAGCTGGAAAATGTTGATACAACTAATGTTAGAAAAAATGGTCGTTTTCCTGCCATTCAGTTATGCGTTTATTAAATTTTACCTGCATACCACAATAATTGTTATTCAATAATATTAACATATATACTTGACAACCATATTTGCAAAGCTTACGCCTAGGAGAAATTTGAAGTTATCTTCAATATTATGTTTTCTTAATACAATTGTTTTTACTAACTCAACAGTTTGTATTTTCTATGTTTTCTGTACGTATTACATTATATAGTTAAGTTTTTATAGAAATGTTAAATCCATGTATTTTATTACCTGTTTGATATTGAGTTTTCCATATCTCACAACATTTTGTGCTTATTTTCATACACTGAATCATAGTTGTTAAGTGAGGCAAAAACAACAGTATAGTTGTTGCTTTTGGTAGTTGTAGTTTGCCTTCCTAATGAATTCGTTTCTCCAAGTTATCCAGACATCTAGTTTTGTTGATTGTTCTTTACAGTAAATTGTCCACCAGCAATTATGATTAAGAATTGGGTGATTTGATTTCATAAAAGCTATCGCAGAATACAATTCCATCATTGATTGAACCACAGAAATTTAGTTACTACTTTGAAGGAATGTTTAGTGTTCTAAATAGTTTTAGTTGGTTTATAAGAATTATTTGACTTGCGATTTCAGCTTTAAATACATATTATCAAAAGCCATAGTTTACTTTGACAAAATACGCATATATGAATTGATTCACTAAAAAATGTAGACCTATTTTTTTAACGGTTTCTTCAGCATATTTGTACAACATCTACCTACAAGATGCAGTTCTAATGTCAAAAGAAACTGAACTATTATCTGTACATACAAATAAGGTGGGGGGGAGGTATGCATACTTATGTGGAAACAAAAAACCCTGTTAACTGGTTAGGGAAGTCCATTAGTTGGACTGAACTAAATATATATATTTTTTCTGTTTTGAATATCTATATTTAAAAAATATGTTCGTGTAAATTTCTTCATGGTTGTCTAGTGCACGCTTTATTAAACAAAATAATTAAGAATTTTCGCTCATATCTTGAATAATATTATTTTTCCTAAACAGTAAATGGAATGATAAATGTATAATGAACTTATTTTTTTGTCCAACTGTATTAAAAGTGGTTGTTGGTATAATCAGATTTATTGTACACAATTCTTTTGCTGTATTTCATTTAACATCATTTTTAAAAACGACTACCTTAATTTTTGATCCCATCTGGGTTTTTTCTATAGATCTATTAGCTACTCACTTTACCTTTCCTTAATGTGTCGCAGTAAGTGGATACACAAAGAATCATACCATTTCTGGATGATTTTTTTGCTCCGAACTGTAATATATTGTAGTGTATTACTTAGCTTGTATATTCCAGTATTTTTGTTCTTTTTCATGTTTTAATGGAATGGCAAATTGTAAATACTGATAGATGTTGCCAAAAATGTGTTAAATGTCGATACTTAGAGTTTTTCGCCGAATCGCACTCCAGTACTAATTTAAATACCCATGCTAATCAAATAATACCATCCCTTGTGATAAAACCATTGGTTTGGTTATCATTAATTCGTGCTTAGGCGACAACGTAGCGCAATCCACAAGTGACCGGACTTAAACTCATAACTAGATGGATGTAAAATGATGCAACTCTAATTCGTAATTGAGTTATACTTCAATAACGTGAATGGTATTTCGCCAAATAAAAGTACTCATTAGTTGTTTCATTACTTTCGGATAGTCTAATAGTTAGTCTAGATTTAGTAACAATAGTCACATACTTATCGTTTATGTTTGTTTCCACCAGTTATGAATATCTCTTTTCTACACTGATTGTATCCACAGATTAACTAACTGTTTTACACTTCATAAGCTGTCTGTTTTTGGAACAAACAATAATTCATCTCTTTTGATTTTGTTTTACCAGAGATCGTGAAAACACTGTACTCGATGTGAATCATCCATTGATTCACAAACTGATCCATCAAATCACCAGACCAAAAGCACAAATGAAGTTAATTAAAAAAATTCATGCTCACGAAAACATTGTCGTGAGTGATTTAACTGGTTATTTGGATTCTTCATCTCATAAATCTGATGGACAGTACGGTTGTTTACGTAGAAATGATGGTTCCAATATGAATAGTATGTCGTTAGATACCATGAATAATGCATCAAATGATATTTTGCCTTATTTTAAACAACCAAAACACTCTCAACAATTTCTCAAGTCACCGATCTCTACTAGTGGACTGATACATCATCCTGATTCAACCGCTCATTATAGATGGTATTCTAATGTAAATGTTAGTTTTACTAACCCTCATTTTACTAATATCAGTAATAATGATTGTATTAATAATGTTATGAATCAGTCGTTGCATTTTCAGCCAAACTGGTCAAAAAATCACTCATCACATGAAGGAATCTATGATTTTGCACATTCACAACAATATTTTATTCCTATGAACGAAATGGCTAAGAAAAGTAATAATAATTATGACAACCAGATCACTGTTATTAATGATAATAACTTACTAAATGCTTATAGCTATCGAAATTCAAAATGCTTTTGGTCTGGTCTTGAGATTCCAACGAATAATCATGAGGATAAAGATTTTTCAGGTGGTACACCAACACCTAGTTTATATGGCACTGAAGATGCAGCTACAACAGATGATTTAGACGAGACTGAAGATATCTTATCCATGTCAAGCAGTGTACATCATTCTGAATTAGTTGATAATTTGCTTAATATAACTACACAGGAACAAGACATTATAAATGACATCAGCAATCCAACTGCTACTCGTCCATTGCGTTTACCTTTAGCTATACCAGAATTATTAACAATATCAGCAACTACGGCTGGTAGTGGAGATACACAAGTGAGTTATTTTCACGGTTTACGTATATTGCTAAACAATTTAATAATTTTGTTCGTATTTCATATCCAATTTTGTCGATCATTGGATTTACCATGATTACTTAACTAAGTGATGCGAATACCGCTATTTATGCATTAAAACGTCAGTTAATTAAATACCTTTGGTAATTTGTATTATTTAGTGGGAAAATATTGCTTTTTAACATGAAACCACATCAGCCTCTGGCTTAGATGCGAACTCTCACCATCCAACATATCATTTAAGTTTACTAGTGCACAATGAATGATTTGTTGGTACTATTTTTTTACTGAGTTCCTGATTGATGAATATTTCTGTATTAATTATAATTGACAAGTTACATACGGTTACTCATTTACTAAATAAACTAACTCAAGGTAGAATTATTCGATTTTCTGGTACTTTTCTCAATAAAGATTTCTGTTGCTCCTACTTCCTTCTGTTGTACATTCTGATGTTCATTGCGTCACATAATTGATTAGTAAGTTGGTCAAACATTTATCAGAGGTCTTCTGTTTCAACTAACGTTTTACATTGCTCAGTTTGTCGAGAAATCAGTACCATAATTACGCGATTCCGTTTAAATCTGTGTTTATAATACCATATATTTTCAGTGTTGATCTTGTGGACTTATACTTACATGATTCAAATGTATGATATTGGGTGATTCCTGGGATTTTGAAATAAAGTTAATTAAATAGAAGTGTCAAAAAACTAAGGATAGACTGTCTTAATCCGTTCTTTCCTACTCTGGATGCGGTCAGTTATTTTGTACCTGTTCTCATTAGTTTCCACTTTCGAAGTTTATCCGTGTTATTGTAAACTTTCTTAATTCTATTCGAGAATAGAGTTTCCGATATTTGGTGATGATTGCTGCCTAAGTAATATACATAATCTACTCTCACTAATTACCAGGTACAGAACAATATACCTGGATTTTAAGTTATGATTTTGTTGTTTGATGTCTACTACTCCTACTATTATAATGAATGACAACACAAGTGGGAACAACCAAATGTATTTGGATACAAAGCTACAGAGCTAATTGGTAAAATATGATTACCATACGTTCAGTACTTCATTCGCAAAATGTCCATCATTTGTTTCGGACTTGGTTGTTACTTCATTTCCCGATCTCTTCAATTCGATCTTCTCAACTTTTTGCTGCCGGGCATTCCACTTTCGATTTGTGTTACATACTACTTTTGTAGACAGACGTAAGTGCCATGCACAACACTACTACCATTCAACTTCCTAAAACTAAGTAGATTTAGCAGGGTTTAAGCATACAACGCACTCAAGTGCTTGAACTTCCAAACTAGCATTTCAAAACATCTACTAGATGTTTTGCCGTTACCTCATAATATTTAGTTTTTACAGGATACTTAAGAAATTTCTGTTGTTCACCGTTTATGATTACAGTCATAAAAATAATAAACAACTATCTTTTTATTTTCATAATTAAAATACATGTTATTTCTTACGTGCAGAAAACGATTATGATTAGTGGTGTTATATTTTCAGTGTAACCCGCTTTAGTACTTATGTTTTGCGTACTAATTATTTTATATAGAGTCAATTGGAAAGTGAAATTATTGATGATTGTTCTTCGTTTGGTTTAACAAGTTCACGGTTGTCGAATCCTAGACAGTCATTATCCTTCACTATTGATCCATTGCCATGTATTCAGTCAGTGCAATCAAAATCTAGTCAACTTGAATCACATGAAGTACTAAAAATCCCAGCTACAGAATGTGCATGTAGTCCAGTTGGTAATTCGAATATGTTTTTTGATTCCAGCCCAGCTGAAACTGTGATTATTAATGGAATGTTTGGAACTACTAAATCCAGCAGTCACCTATTACTTCAAGATCAAGACATACAGTCAATTGAAGAAAATAACTCAAATTTCAGTTCAAATATTTATTACGATAACAATGAACAACATGATACAAAAGACATCAGTCAAATTGAATCGGATTCAACCGTACTGAATGATCAAATTAAGATTTTTGAAATGGATAATGTTGATGATGAGGAATGCGTGGATGATGAGCATAACACTTTGAAAACTGTGATCAAATTGTTCTGAATTGACCAGTGATCTGGGTTTCTCGTTTTCTTACATATGTTTTTCTTTGAAGTGATTTTTTAGCATATATTTATTTATACACTTTACGTGAATACAACTTTCAAAGAAATTAATATCCATATCCGTAGCCAGGACTATGCGGCTCGAAATTATGATTGTTTGTGTCATCATGAGTATGTAACAGCTAACTGTTCATTCCTACTGTTATTATTATCGTTTATATAGTTTATCCAATTAGCAGTTCAATTCTTTTATTTAGCCCGAAATATAGTTACTTTATATCCTTTACATCTTGTTTATTTTTCATATGTGCTGTTTTTCTAAACATGATATATTATTGGAAATCAACATATTTACACTTTCGTTTTTTTCCAAGATTCCTTATTACTGTTGTTGCCTTTTAATACTTTCCATTTTTGTTCTCATTACTTTCATGTGAATTCAGTTCTCTCTCCTTGTTCTCTTTCGCCCGCATTTTTCGCTGTTGTGACTTCTCTTTTATTCTTTATATCTCAGTCTATGGTGTTTTGCCTCTATGAATGAAATGCTTCTCTTATTCACTCCATGAGAAATACTAATAGTTGCTCTTCATTCTATTTTTATTTCGTTTAAATAGTATTATGTTGGTTCAATAAAATAAATTCCTTTATTTCCTTGATAACTGTCGACTTCATAATATATTTTGTTAATAGTGAATTAGGTTTCAGTAGCGGGGTCTTCTTTAACTTATATATATATATATACTCTTTTATGTTGGGTTTATGCTATTACAAAGTTTTTACATCCTGTATTCTCCTCTTAATATTTACTTTCGATGAAATTATGCGTATATAAGTTATAGCAAAACCATGTGATTTCTTTTATATTTTACTGCTGAAAAGATTGTTGATACTCACTCTATATGCTTATTTTCACTGTAACATTTTTCATCCGAACCGAAATGCCCCTTTAGGTACTTCATCCTTTTTCGAAAATTGTCCTCTGTTAAAATGGATTCTTAAACATTAGTTTTATTTCGTTATTGTTGTACAAGAATGTTATCATGCTCATTTTACTAACCTTGACGGGAAACAAGTAGAAAGATTATTAGGATTATGGCGTATTTTGAATGCATTTTGTAGGTTTTAACGACATATAAACACTACTTATAATATTAAAATTTTTTCTCCATTCATTTGTTTTTTTTCTGCATTATCGAAAGCAATAAAATACCTATGCTCTTCCAATTCTGAGTTTTCTTCTCATTTAACGAGGAATTTATAAGCGTTGATGAACTTATTTACCAACACATAGAATATCTTCAAGTTACACGGTTTGTAATAAGATTTTTGACACCTGAAGTGTTTTATCAACTAACCAATTATGATATGATGAGTAATTTGCGTTTGAAACTATTCAATAATGGACATGTTTCCAAAGTGATATCGTATACTAATGTACGATACTACAGTCAAACTATTGGATATGCAAGTTTTTGAACTCTATTCTCATTTGCGAATATTTATAGTAAATTTGAAACTGATGGTGTAACAGTTATAGTGATGCTTTAATTATTCGTCACAACATGTACCAAAAGAAATCAAAGCTTATTGCATTGAGTACCGAATGTTGAGATATTTAGTTTATTTTTTAAGTTGCTAGTTCCTTACTTCCGTAATGAAAGTACTGGATCCTATATCAATTGCTGCCTAAATATTTAACATTTAGGTGTCCTATTTTTTCGGTAATTTTCCGCCTCAATCTCATTAGCTTATAAATGAGAAATCATATTATCACACTTAGACTACCGCTCTTATTATATATCAATGATATCTTACCAAGTCTTCTGAATGCGTTCAATTGTATTTTGTCTCTAAAAAATGAATTTATTTGACTTACTTCAGAATATTTTATCAATCTTAACTTCGAAATCTGCTTTTAAATATCATTTCTAATGACAGACTTAGAATTTTAAGAAACTTTTACCACGTGAACTATTTTTTTAATCGTATCTCTTGATAACTCACCAATACATGAGGATTTCACTCTGCTGGTATGTCATTCCATTTGTATCCGTGTTACCGTCTCACTTGCGCTATAAGATCCTTGTTCATAAATACTTGGAATTTTTTTCTCAGAAACTCGTGCAAGGAGTGGAAGCTTTTAAATTATTCCTACAACACAATTTTGAGACAAGGTAATTTTATGATAGATAATTTTCAAACGCTGTCCGTTATTTGCTTTCATTGCGTGTTTCACTTCTCTGGTTTGACAGTATGAACGAAAGTGACCATCCGTTTTGTAAGAATATCAAATACCAATGTAATCATTTTGTACAAGAGAACTATTTTGTCAGACTATGTTGCATTCTGTCTACACTATAAATCATTCTTCTTTTAGTCTCGTTTTTTTCATTACTACTGTTAGGGGAATTGTTAGGTTACATAATATTACATCGTATTAGTCAATCCACCAGTCTGCGGTATAAACTTGTATTATCCGAATCATATGACTTTTAGTGGTCAAATATTTAGTTACCACTAATCTTGACATAATTTGCAATCAATTTAAACATTTATTTAGCGAATATGCTTTTTGACTACATCCCTGGTTTAGGAGTAATTTGGAAAGATGCTAGGGATGGTCAGATCATGGGGTAGCACCAGTGCATAAAGTCATTGATAACTAAACTGAGAAATGTTAATAAATGCAAACTGTGTGTTTGGGTCACTCTAACATCACTCAAAGGTCGTCCAAAAATTATAGTCTCACCGATTTTTTCTAATACTAGTAATGCTATTTCAACTTCGGCTTCTTTAAATCTGTCGCACTGTGCTAATGATGTATGACAACTTGAACCGATCCACTTATTTGTTAGGTTCTATGATGTGTATGACTATAAGTATTCTGATACACACTTAATTTTCTGCATTTCATGTCACTAATGGAAAAAGCTCTATTGTTTTATGGTTTTATCAACCGGTAGTTTCCAAATGCCAATTATTCATGAGGAATGAATTTATAAGCCAAAAAGTCTAAATTGTTTTGATTCATATGAATAGAATTTCATTATAACGTAACTTCGAATAATCAACTATAAATAAAATTTAATTGATCTCCTGAACCAAAACATGTTAGTCATTCCGAATTGTGGTTACATCTAAATAAGTTTATGATCGAATTCATTCTATATCTTATCACATCCTATTTATCCAGTTTATTTTTTACATGTCATTGTTATGTATGAACAATGGGTAAATGAAGTTACTATAATCATGTTCATGTTTCATGCAGGATAAATCCGGTATAAATTTTGTTTATAAACTGAAAAACTAATGGATATAACCAGTTCGTTCTCATATTTATTCACGTGATAGTTGAATAAGTCACATAAAACTAGTGGTGTTTCTATATAAGGAATAAATAGGTATTTGAAGATGCAATACAGAATAAAAATACATATCTATTTTCTTCGTTACTGAATCTTTCATATAAGCTTGTCAGTTAAATTCAATCAAGGGATAATGAACAATATCAGTCGTTTCTCCGAAGATATATTTGTTATTTAAATCAATGATACCATTTAATTTGTTCAGTTTAATCGATGTGTAGTATAAAAATAAACGATCCATTCTCACAAATCCAAGATTAAATAGGGAAACATTATCAGAATATGGTAAAATTTGCATAAACCTCATCACTGAAGGGAAAATCCCGTAACTAAAACTTACTATCAGTGTTATTAGTTCATCTTTTAATGTTACCTCAGGATATCCTCTTTCCATTACTTCAAAGCGAGTGAAGGAGAAGCGCGTATGGTTCATCTACAATATTTCTTGGAATTGTAGTGTGTGAGTGATAGGCGGTAGGATATGTTTACGTTATCGACACCACTCTGTTGTCGAGTACAAGGCTTGGGCTATACATTAGTGGCTGAGGACGTGTTTATTCATCGTCGTGCGTAGACGTCTCATCATTCCACCGGCAAAACATCTTGTTACTTGTGCAGATTAGATCGCTTGATTCAAGAGTGATATGGTTAATTAATACAACCTTTCAGAGGCACATGTAAGAATAATCTTAAGTTGCTCAAGTAAAATACAATCAAATTTATACAAAAACCGTCCACGTTAAAAATCCTAATTATATTATATATACTTTTGGTCAGACATTCATTTCTAGTTCTTGTTGAAATTTGTTATATTATTAAGTAATAAATTCAGTTTACAGAAAACAGACCGACATCTAAGTTAATAAAACGCTAATATCAATTTATGTAACGATGCAAGGTTATTTGTGGGATGAATAACTGGACTAAATCAGTGATTAATCTTAAAGAAAGACAAAAATTATTTTCTTTATGGTTTTCGTGACTTTTTTTTGACAAATAGCAACAACCGAATCTCGATTGTTCGGAATGGTTGATTATTCAAGAAAAAACACATTAATAACAAATATGGAAATGGCAACATTTGCCTGCTTACAAAAATGCATAACGAATTCCGAGTTTTTCACTTTTATTTAAGGTGTCTACAATAACATTTTCAATCATTCAAGAAATTAACCGATGTCTTATAACGAATGCTCATTTGGTAATCTGATCTTGTTTCTTGTCGGATAAATAACAATTATTTTGAATATATAAATATTCGGATTTCCTAGCTTTTACTTCGTTATTACATAAACTGTGTATAACCAAAGAGTAAATTATTTACAAACACCACCAGGATTATACGTGATAACTTCATTTGTATTTCAAAACCCTAAATCACTGATAGGGAAATGCTTCTTCCCGCGGTAAAGGTGTTGTTAACTAAATTGAAAGGCCGAAAAGCGTTTTACCCAGTTTAGTGTTTATAAAGGATCCACCGGATATAGTTGGAAAACATTGATTCCGAACCAACATGCTCCAGGATCCCAAGGGAGTAAATTGAGAATGAACCTATTGTTGACCACCGGTTTCAATTAGACTACATCACTTAACGGTTATCCATTGCTTTGTGGATTGAACCTCTACTTCA